GTTTCCTGGTGTGAGATAATTAGTATAGGAATATACGTGCACACGTATGTTTATATGAAATACCGATGTGTAGATGTAATGTTTATGTCTGTATATGTATATGTATATGTGTATGTGTATGTGAATATATATATATATATATATATATATATATATATATGTACAGGTATATGTGCTTATGTCTATGTTTATGTGTCTGCGTGTGCAAGCATATTCTGGGCCCCTCCAGGGCCCCAGACTTGGCCGAACTCGGCGCGTTCCCCCCAAAGCCGACCACGGCATGCCCGTGTGATTCAGATCGATCGAAATTCCGGCCCGCGCACATATCGATGTGCATGATTTGCGCTCTGCATGCTCAACTTTTGCTTGCACCGAACGCATGGCCCTGAGACAATCTCGAGGCACAACCACTATAAACTTGTAGGTGGGCGCCGCGCGCGGCAGCGAAAACTGCACAGGGTGCGAAGACTCTGAGGCTTGACTCTCGCGCGCCCTATGTACATTGCCACCTCTCGCGGCACTGGACGCGGTGTTGCGCCTGCGCGCGAGTGCAGACTTAGGCCAGCCGTTGCGCTGTCTGGACACGAAGGCACTGTGCCTTTTGGTGCATCTCGCCCACATCTGGCCAGAAAAAGCGCCGCCCATCATAAGAAGCCCTGTGGCGCTGCATGGGATCGCCGCAGGTCCGACAACCAGGAACCGCGTAATAAAGGAAGAACAATTGCATATGACAAACTGTCGCTGCTCCGTGCGGATTTCTTGGATCGGTGCTGGACACCCCTCCATGGCGCGCGGAGAGCGCCAGGGGCGGCGCCGGAGGCGCCGCCATGGGGGTCCAGCTCAGATCCAAGAAGTCCGCGCGGAGCTCCGAAAGTTTGTGTTTATGCCGTTTCTCCTTCTTCGAGCGTAAGCAATGCAAGTCGCCCGTCCTTCCACGTCCCGCTCCTCCTCCTAGAGGTAGGAGGAGCGGAACAGCAAGAGACGGGGGCAGGCTGGGGAGTGGACTGCGCCAGCCTGCCCCTCCCCCTCCCCCTCCTCCACCCTCCTGCTCCTGCTCCTGGTCCTCCTCCATTCCTTTTCCTTTGAAATAACTCCCCCCTGGCGCAGCCCAAGGCCAGTCGGAAGGGCGGCCTGGGCGTTTGGCCTGAGACTTACCGACCCCGCAGACTTCGAATCTGTGACGAGACTTGAGGAACCTACGAACCCGGTAAGGAAATCACGTCAAATATTATGCTGCCAGGGTTCTCTGGTGTCGCCTCCAAGTGCGAGGACCTCTCAAACGAGAGCCAAGCTCTTGAAGATATCGAATTCGTGAGCTCACAGAAAGCATCTTGTCTGAGGATGTCTACAGCGAAACGTCCCGCCACACCAAGTTCGGCATCCAACGCCCAAGCTCAACATCTCAATGTCCCCAGGATGTCTCAAGCGAAATCTTCATTTTCTAAAGCCAACGTCGTACAACAACTCCTCCAACATCCCCATGTGGCTAGGATTTCTCAGTCGAAACGCCCCGCCCCGCCCCCCCCCACACACACACACCATGTTGAATATCCGACGCCTGATCTCCACCATATCAAATTTGTAAAAATGTCTCAAACGAAAGCTTTACTTTTGAGAACCAACGTCGTAAAACACTCCTGCAATATTCTCATCGTGCGAGGATGTCTCAGGGATGCGCTCCCCCCACACCATGTCGAATATCCGACGCCCGAACTCCAACATCGGAGGTGAGGGGGTGAGATCGAAGTGGAACGGAGAGCCCCCTACCGGAAAATCGGTTTCGGTTTCGTGTTCGTGCGTGCCGCACGTGCGGGCGAGGCGAAGCTGCGTGGGCGGGCGAGAAATGTCCCGCCTCTAGCTGAGGCGCGACTGACCAAAAGTTTCCCTTCCGGCAACCGGTGCCGCGCGGTGTCCCGCCGGTGTCCCGTCGGATGATGTTGATGATGATGACGATGCTGGTGTCCCGATGATGATGATGATGATGATGATGGTGATGATGATGAAGTTGGTGATGGGGATAATGATGTGATGATGATGATTTTGATGGTGGCGACACGAAGATGATGCTGATGTTGATGATGATGATGGTGTCCCGATGATAACGGTGATGATTAGGATGATGATGTTGACGATGATGATGATGGTGCTCTGGTGATGATGAGGTTGATGCTGTTGATGTTGCTGGTGATGATGATGGTATCCCGATGACGATGATGCTGATGATGTCGTTCATGATGGCGATGATATGATGATGCTGTTGATGATGATGATGATGGTGTTCCGATGATGATGATGATGTTGATGATGATTTCCCGATGATAATGATGTTGATGATGATGGTGACGATGATGGTGTCCCGATGATGGTGATGAAGGTGATGCTGATGATGGCCATGGTGGTGATGATGATGGTGTCCCGCTGATGGTGATGTTGGTGATGCTGATGTTGTTGCTGATGGTGATGGTGTCGCAATGATGACGATGATCTTGATGATCCTGATGATGTTGATGATATGATGATGATGCTAATGAAAATGATGATGACGGTGTCCCGATGATGATCATGATGTTGCTGCTGATGCTGTTGATGGTGATGATGATGATGGTGCCCCGGTGATGAAGATGTTGATGATGATGATGACGATGATGGTGCTCGATGATAATGAGGATGATGTTGATGATGAGGATGATGATGAAGTGGTGATGATTTAGATGATGGTGGCCCGATGATGATGATGCTGATGTTGATGATGATGATGGTGTCCCAATGATGATGATGGTGATGGCGATGATGATGGTCACGATGATGATGGTGTCCCGATGATGATGATGTTGACGATGTTGTTCATGATGGTGATGAGATGATGATGGTGATGGTGGTGTTCCGATGATGATGGTGTCCAGATGATGATGTTGACGATGTTGTTCATGATGGTGATGAGAGGATGATGTTGATGGTGGTGTTCCGATGATGATGGTGTCCCGATGACGATGGTGTTGATGATGATGATGGTGACGATGATGGTGTCCCGATGATGATGGTGGCGATGATGATGTTGATGATGCTGGTGATGATGATGGCGCCCCGATGATGATGATGTTGATGACGTTGATGACGATGATGTCGATGATGACGTTGATTGTGATATCGATTGTGATATCGATAATGACACCGATTGTGAAACCGAATGTGAGATATATTGTGAGATCGACCGTGAGATCGATAGTGAGATCGATTGTGAGATCGATAGTCATATCGATTGTGAGATCGATCGACTGAAACAGATCGAGTAATATCGATTGCGAAATCGATCGAGTGAGATCGATCGAGCGAGACCGATCGTGAGATCGATAGTAAGATCGATCGTGGGACCGGTCGAGTGAGACGTTGGTTCCTCCCCTCCCGAACCTCCTTCTCACCCGAAGGGTGGTCGTATAGGTATCATTATTATGAAGATGTCTCAGGCGAAGGCCTGGCTTTGGAGAACCAGCGTCGTGAAACAACGCCTCCCGCATCCCAATGTTGCGAGGATGTCTGGGGCGACGCGGCCCCCCTGCCATCCTAAGCGGAAGCCTTTTTTTGGTGAACCAATGTCGCAAAACAACTCCTCCAACCTTCCCATGTTGTCAGGACGTCTCAATCGAGACGCCCTACCCACCCCCCACACCATGTTGGATATCCTGCGTCTAATCTCCAACTTCTCAAGCGAAACCTTCATGTGTTGAGAACCAACGTCGTAAAACAACTCCTCCCACATCCCCATTTTGTCATGATGTCTCAGGCGAAACGTTCCCCCCACACCATGTTGGACATCCGACGCCCGCGTGGACACCTGAAAATGTTCGAGCTTCAAGAACCCGACGCGAGTAAATTGGATGCTCCCCTCGGGGCCCCGCTGTCGCCAGGAACAGGTGGAAACACAAGACAAACGCATGTGCGACGAGACGCATCTCCCCCTTCCGCACATGCATTTTCACGCGTAGGGAACACGACGCGAGTAAGTTGGATATCCCTGGGGGGGCCGCTGTCGCCACGAACGCGTGAAAAGACGTGCCCATCGCATGCGCGACGAGACGCATGCTGGAGACCCTTCTTCTGCACCCGTATTTCTACGTGCCGAATTCCGACTTCACCTGCTCGACACGTTTCTGGTAAAGGGCCAAAGGCCCGCGCACTAAAAGATAATCCTGGGCCCAAACCCTTACCGGGGAAATGGCTGTCCCATCCATCGCGACCCCTGGAGGTGAAGAGAAACTTCTTGGACCCCGAACCTTGGCGCCCGTGACCGCGCCTGCCTTCTTGGAAAAGGGTCCGCCTGGCCTGATCGCCCGATTGTCGCACACCACGGCGGTCTCAACCGATCGGAAAATACCGTCCGAGTGGAGCAGGAGTGGGAGGAGGGCAGGGGGAAGGAAGCTCACCACCACCTTCACCCAGGAAGCACGGGATTTGGCGATTTGTGGGATGCTTTCAGGTGCACAGGATGCCCAGCGAGAACGTACAGAAAAGTGTACACTACAGCCATCTTAGACACCCGTGATCATGCTTCCCATCCAGCTGTTTGTGATGCTCTTCCTGCCTCCCAGGGGAAGAGGATGGGGATGATGAGGAGAAGGGAGGGGAGGACACCAAGAGAGATTACGTATTGGTAGGTGCAAGACCGGCAGGATCAGGTGACGAATGAGGAGGGTCAGAAGGACGAAGAGGCAAAGGAGCAACAGGGTGAGGAGGGGAATCTAGCGGAACAGTAATGGCATTGACATGATATTTGGATCTCCGCGCGAATTTCTTGGATCGGCGCAGGACCCCCCTGTCTGGCGCGCGGAGCGTGCCAGGGGCGGCGCCCGAGGCGCCGCCAGGGGGGCTCCAGCGACGATCCAGGACATCCGCGCGGAGCTCCGACAGTGCCTGCTGTATGCCGTCTTGTCTTCTTGAAAGATCACGAGGAGCAGGAAGGAACAAGAGCGGGAGGAGGAGGGGGACAGGAGGACGTGCGCTCCCTACTCGGGCGTCTGCTGCGTCTCGTCCGCCACAAGCCCCCGCGGCTCGTAGCTGATCAGGCAGCAGCTGGCCGTGTGGCCGTGGCGCGCGGTGCGCCTTGAAGGAGGAGGAGGAGGAGAAGGAGGAGGAGGACTAGTATCTGAGGAGGAGGAGCAGAAGGAGAGACGGCGAGCAATGCTCCTCCTCCGCCTCCTCTTCCACTTCCTGGCTCCGGAGGGCCCTGTCCTTGCTCCTGCTCCTCCTGCTGATGCTGCTGCTGTCACTCCTCCTCCTGTTCCTGTTCCTCCTCCTCCTCCTCCTCCTCCTCCTCCTCCTCCTTCTCGTCATCATCATCATCATCATCATCATCATCATCATCATCATCATCATCATCATCATCAGCATCAGCATCAGCATCAGCATCAACATCATCCTCGTCGTCGTCAGCTTCACCATCATCACCATCATCATCAGCAGCAACAGCATCATCAGTCGTCATCATCATCGTCATCACCATGATCATCATCAGCATCATCATCATCAGCAACATCAGCATCGTCAACATCCCCATCGTAATCAACATCATCGTCATAATCAGCATCACCACCACCACCACCACCACCACCATCATCATCATCATCATCATCATCGTCATCATCATCATCATCATCATCATCATGGTCAACATCACCATCGTAACCAACATCATCGTCATAATCAGCATCATCACCACCACCATCATCATCATCAACATCACCATCACCATCACCATCACCACCATCATCAACATCCACCGCCACCGTCATCACCATCTTCACCATCACCATCACCATCATCATCATCATCATCATCATCATCATCATTGCCGTCATCAGCATCATCATCAGCATCATCATCATCATCGTCATCGCCATCGTCAAAATCATCATCAGCACCACCAGCATCATCATCAGCAGCATCATCACATGATCATCATCATCACCATCATCATCATAAAAACCATCACCATCGCCATCCCCATCACCAGCACCACCACAATCATCATCATCATCATCATCATCATCATCATCATCATCATCATCATCATCATCATCGTCATCGTCATCGTCAGCAGCATCATCATCAGCATCATCGTCATCATCATAACCTTCGTCATTATCATCATCGTCATCAGTATCGTCATCATCACCACCATCATCATCAGCAGCAACATCACTACCACCATCATCATCATCATCATCATCATCATCATCATCATCATCATCATCATCATCATCACCATCACCATCGCCACCTTCTGACGGGCGGTTTGTGAGCATAGTGTCAGAAACACCCTTTGCTCTGTTGCTGGCTATCTGCACTTTCGTGACCATCCTCTGTTGCTCAACGTCTTGAGGGTGAGGTCGAGCGGGGTGGTGGCGGACGGTGGCAAGACATCGCTTGCTTCGGTGGAGGTGCTTGATCAGCCTGCCTGGGGTAAAACATCCTAGATGCAGGCGTGGGCAATCAGTGCCGACAACAAGCCTCCAGACCGCATCGGAGGTAGGGTGCTTGTTGTCTCGATCTATGACCAAGAGCCTCGAGGAGATGGTAACATGGGCACGAAGCGGGCAGAGGAAAGTGGGCGGGGGTGGGGCGTCAAGGCCCCCCCTCTCAAGACTGCTCATGCAACTTTCTGTTGCGCTCCTGGACAGCACTCGCGAAAACATAACCCGCTTGGACACGACCGCGACGGGCCGCTCGCCGCTGCGACACAAATACCATCATTGGACAGTGGGCTCTATGAGTATTGCTAGTGTCTACATCGTGACTGTGACGATTATTGCTGAAAATGAGGGGGAACTCGGCGTATACTAGAGAGAACTCGGCGTACAACTCGGTGCGACTATGAGTGGACAGATAAAGAAACAATGCGCGCTATGACCGCGTCATACCGCCGCCCTGAACAAATATGCTCTGCTGCTCCACCCTCTTCCCGAGCGCGTCCTTGTTCCCGTGTCCTAGGCACGCCTCGGATCCCAAGGAAGCCGATCAGGACGGACGGCATTAAAGTCCGTGTGCGTCCAATAGCATGTACGCTTCAGACCACAACTATAATGTTGACGACACAGGTCGCCTGGCTTGCAACCCGCGAAGACACCCCAATTGTCTGGCCTCTCCATGAAATCGAACAGAGGGTTCTCTTTAAAGATAACAACACCTGGGTATATTCGGATGACTCAATCATAACCGTCGAACCAGCCGGATGAAAAAGCTATATGTGTTGCCTCGACTGCGCCAGCTTGGTATCCAGAGTTCTTGATGAAGCGAATGGTTTTTCTTCTGCATGGCAAATCGCGCACCAGCTTTTCGTACTGGCGCCTCTCTTTCGGTGGCGCATTATCCTCTCCCGCTGAAAGTTTGTGCAATCCCACAGAGTGTGGCGTCTGCGTTCGATTGTTAGCCTAGGTAAGCGGTTGAGCAATCCCGCCTGACACGACAAAAAAGCCAAATGCTGCTTAGACCCCACAGTTTTGATGAAAAGCACCACGCGCAGTAAACTAGTGGTGCCTGTCTCGAGCGACACTGTCGACATGCCCGACGTGAAATTTACAATCTGCGACCACCTGGCCGACATTTCTTCGTCGAGTTCCTCGCCATTCCAGCATGCCTCCATTAACAATTGTCTTGAAGATATTGGGAATCCCTGGTCACAAAAACCAGTACGCCACAGATGTGTCTCGAGCTGCCACGCGTGCAGAAGAACGCAGCGCACCTCAGAGCTGTGCCATACTTCGCTGTCTCGTGTCTGGCAGGCGTAATCGTTGTGATCTTGCCAAATGTACCTTTCTTTCTTCGCCGCATAAATCGACCGGAAAGCTTGAGAAACAAACAACTCTACATCTTCTCCAACCTTGCCATCCCAATGGTTGAAGGCATCTCTAGGGATGCGGTCCAATCGAACAGCATAAAAATCCGCATTCGTCTTAACATCGTCCTGGAGACCGCATCCAGAACGTTGATCGCAGCAGATGGTGCGAACCTTGTGTACACATGGACTTAAATTGCAACTCGCAAAGATACCCCGATTATCTGGCATACCCGTGAGCGATATCATATAGTTTCCGTTGTAGATGACAACGTCGGACTCAATCATAACTGCTGAACCACCCGCTAGAAAAGACGACATGTACAGCTTTCTGTGCTCCTTAGTCCCCTCCTGGGTTTTCCAAGAAATAAGCTTGCTTAGTTCCAGTCGTCCACGGGGCCAACAGCTGCTCATACTTCTGCCGAAGCCGCTGGGACACCTCTACAATATATTCTACAGCACCGACAACACTGCGCTCGTCTTCCAACACAGATCAGACGGCATCCGCCCTGGATAGCATTGGTAAGCGGCTCATCAAATCTGCCTGACATTCTAAAAAGCTAGTGTGTCGATCCGACCGCGTGGCTGAGATAAACAAAACCATGCGCAACGCATCCTGGACACCAGATGAATTCGCCGAGGACTCCGTTGCCTCGATCGACGTATGCGCGGCGTTCAGCGAGGCGTTCCCTAGCCGAGACCATCCGTGGAATGTCCAGCCGAATTCACGCATATTGACGCTCCTGTCACCAGTGCGAAAGGCTGCTGCCACATAAGTTGTCGCAACAGCGTGCGCATCCAGCCGACTACCATCACCAGCGCGCGCAACCGTAGCTACACTCCCGTCGCCAGCACTCGCGGCTGTGTTCGCAGAAGCTGTCGTAGGAGCGTGCGCATCTGGCCGATCACCATCGCCTGCGCGCGCTACCGTCTTCCCGAAACTGCTGGCATCCAACTGGTCTCCGGGCGTCTTCCTAAATGGAGGGCCCTTGACACTCACGGCCTCGAGGTGCTTGCTGGCCGCCTGAAACAGGAAGGAGCCGCCAACAATCCATCGAAAATCCCCCCGAGTTCATAAAGAGGCAGCATTGCCACAACAAACAAAGTGACACCCAAAGAGAGAACTTTCACTTCGTTACCAGGCAGTGACATCCAATCCGCCACAGCAGCTTGAGCCAAAATGGCGACGGAGAATGCTCCAAGAACACTTCTCGATCCCCGTGCCTCGCAAATCAGCTGCGTTTATTCGCTGCCATGCTTCGAATGAGGACATGTCTCGCCGCCAATGCGCTCGTGCTTGTTAGGTGACAGTTGTGACTCACGCGGTCTAGTCCTGGCTATGTGCACCCAGTCCCTAGGCTCCTCCTCCTCCTCCTCCTCCTCCCTCTTACTCGCTCTCAGAGGGCCCAGGGGCCTCTGGTCAAGGCCCCCCAAGGTCACGCCCTGCGGCGCGATCTCGCCGCACACCGACGCGCCCGCGACAGGGAGGCGCCCATCGCCGATGGCCTGGCGGAGCTCTTCATATGCGACCTCGGGGGGCGGGGAAATCTCAGAGCAGGGAGGAGGTGGTGGTGGTGGTGGTGGCTACGGCATTGAGGCGGCCCTCGTGCCAAAAACATCGTCGAGTAATCGGAATAATCGCATAGCCCGTGATACAGGGCAACGCGCGAATGTCTCATTCCGAACGCAGCCCCTCGAAACGAGGAGGGGCACCCCGCCGTCAACCCGCGGCATGCCGAGGGAGGAGCCAGGAGTGAGGGAAGAGTGGGGAGAAGGAGGAGGGAGGAGGTACCTTCTCCTCCTCGTCGCACCACTAGGCGTGTCGGTAGGGCGGGCTGGGCTTTTCGCCCGAATCACCCTCGCCGACTGCGATCCTGGAGCTCGACATTCCCGACAGGCACACGGATAGAGCGGGTCGTGTTCAAAATGTGGCTCTCGCCTGGGCGTCGACCATATTTGCTGCAAAAGCGTACAGCAGATAGATGGATGGATAACGAACGGTTTTAAAAAGAAATGTCTCGCCTTCGCGCCGCGCACATTCATCTTAAAAGCTGCCACCAGGGGCACCGATGGAGGGCGGCTTGTTTTCAAGCTGTAGCCGTCGCCCTAGCGACGAGCACAGCCGCCTTCAAGCATCCAACAGCTACAAGGATGAATGCCAACGGTCTTCATGATGTGGCCATTGCCTTGGCGCGGCGCGCAGTCACCTTCCTTCAACGTGTCCAGAACCTGCAAGGACGGGGGACGTGGAACCGTGCCGCTCTGGAGCTCTTCGAGTCTATGACCAGACGTGTACACTCGCTTGGCATTTGCAAGGGCGGACGGCGGCTCCTCTCTGTTGCTCCAGAATGCGGATCTCGCGTGCAACTTCCCCAGCGCTCACGGCCCGGCGTGCAACAGCTGCGCGGACGGAGGGCGCCTCCTTAAACAGACGAGGCTCTGGCGTGACACCTCCTCAGACTGCATGACGCTACGGTAGAGGGAAACAACTAGTGAACACCCCCCCTGCCCCCAAAACTCAAAGTTGGCACGCGCGGGGGAGACTGCGGTCGAGGTGCAACTCATCAGACCCACCGCCAACTTTGAACATTGGGGGGAGGGGGAGGCGTTCACAGATGAATGTGGCAGGAGTGTTCGCTATGTTTTCGAGGCCTGCACATTGTCGCATCCCTGCTGGCGACAGCAAAACTCCATGTACCAAAAACGTGTTCGGTCGTATGGAATATGTTCCGAGCCTTACGCGCATGCGTATCGGTCCTTGCGGGTCGCTTTCGGTCCTTGCCGACGCCAGGTCTCAGATGCTTCTCAGCTCCCCTCCCCTTGCCCAAACGAGGAACCCTGATGCACTCCCGCCCCAAGAAAGATGCAATACGTCTTTCTGGGCTCACGGTTCACGTGTTCGGTCCTTGCGGGTCGTTTTTCGGTCCTTGCGGACGCGGTGTCTCAGGTGCTCCTGTGTTTCCAGATTTTCTCCCCACCCGCGCACTACGCACATTCATTTCTGCCCAGAAAGACATTGCGTCTTTTTCGGGTCCATGGTGCATTTGTTCAGTGCTTGCGGGTCGTTGCTCGGTCCGTTCCGCCGCGGTGCCCCAACTGGTTCTTAGTCCCCCCGTTTCCCCGTCGCGGGGGGGGGGGGGGGCGAACAAAAAGGACCTGTAATGACAGAAACACATCACACTGTTTCTTGGCCGCATGGCGTAGCTCCTCTGGCCGTGGCCGCAGTATCCACCTTGGTACAGAGGGCGGGGGAGGCAGGCGGGTCCCGAGGGCGCTCGGGGCCCTCGGGGCTTTTTCGTCGCTCTCGGGCTCTCGGGGAGGAGGAGGAGGAGGAGGAGGAGGAGGAGGAGGAGGAGGAGGAGGAGGAGGAGGAGGAGGAGGAATAGGATGAGGAGGACCTCTGGCCGTGGCGAATTCGAAGGGTACAGAACGCTCCCATTTCCAAGACGAGTCTCTCGCCAGAATGGCTGGCCCATTGGGCGCTCGTCTTCTCGAGGGGTGCCCCCCGCAGTGCGCAGGAATGCCTGCGGGCACTTCCGAGGAGGAGGCTCGGGACGGGAGGGCGGATTGCAGCGCCGTTGGTGCATCCTGGACTTAGCCTGGTCCTCCTCCTCCTCCTCCTCCTTATCCTCGCCTTTTCTTTTCTCTCTCTCTCTTTCTCTCTCTCTTTTGTTTCTCTCTCTCTCTCTCTGTATCTCTTTCTCTCTCTCTCTCTCCCCCCCTCTCTCTCCCTCTTCACACTCCATCCCTCCGTTTCCCCGCCCCCTCCTACTGTTCCCCCTCCTCCGCACCCTCATCACGCGCGTCTTTCTCGGCCTCACCATCGCTGTCGCCGTTGTTCCCTGCATCCTCCACCTAATCCAATTCTTCACTTCAACCTCCCCTCGCCCCGCTGTGCCCCCCTCCTTCCGATTCCCGCTCTGCCATTCTCCCTCCGAGGGTGTGGGGAAACGGAGAATGAAGGGAGAGAGGTAGTGAAAAGGACATGAACGGAGAAAGGATAAATGGATAGAAGCGGAGGAGGGGGGAGTGGAGAAAGAAAGAAAGAGGAGAAGGAGGAGGAAGAACAGAAGAGCAGATGATGATGAGGAGGAGGAGGAGCAGCAGAAGAGGAGGAACAATAAGAAGAGAGAGGGGGTGGAGGAAGAGTGATGAGAAGAAACAGAAGGACGACGACGACGAGTCCATGGATCGGGGGAGGTGCCCTCCCCAACATGCGGCTGGTAGCGCCTCGTTCGGCGGCGGCAATCAGCGATTTCCTATGGAAACGGGGCCCGTAGCTAATCCACGCCCCCTTAATCCATGTTTGCGATCGCTTGACAACTGCTGCTGCTATTGCTGCTGCTGCTGCTGCTCCACCTCCTTCCCTCTCCTACTCCCGCTGCGTCCACCCGTTCTCCTCCGTCTTCCCCCGCCCCTTGTCTCCCCCTTCGCCCTCAACCGCTGCTCCTTATTAGTATACTCCCCCTCCCCCACTCGACCTGCCGCCAACCAGGGTCAACGCCAACCCCCCCCACGATCCCTGTCAAGACAAATACAGATAACACTTTGCTGCTCGTCGTCGTCGTCCTCCTCCTCCACCTTTCCCCGGGCGCGTCCTGACCAGCATCTCGACGGGAATCTGGCCATGACGACGAGAGAAGCCTGCTGGAGGCGCCCAAACAAGAGAAACACCCCACACAGAATCCACGAAGCTCAGCTCCCGATCCGGGCATCCCTCCTTCCTACTAGAAGAAAGCCAACACATATATCATAAACGGTTGAAGGTCCGAGCGGATTTCTTAGATCGGCGCTGAAACTCCTTCCCTGGCGCGCGGAGCACGCCAGGGGCGGCGCAGGAAGCGCTGTCAGGGAAGACAAGCGCCGATTAAAGAAATCCGCGCGGAGCTGTGTAAGTTTATGCTTAGGCAGTTGTTCAATGTGTGTGTGCGTGTGCGTGTGTGCGTGTGCGTGTGTGTGCGTGTGTGTGTGTGTGTGTGTGTGTGCGTGTGTGTGTGTGTGTGTGTGCGTGTGTGTGTGTGTGTGTGTGTGTGTGTGTGTGTGTGTGTGTGTGTGTGTGTGTGTGTGTGTGTGTGTGTGTGTGTGTGTGTGTGTGTGTGTGTGTGTGTGTGTGTGTGTGCGCGTGTCTCGTTCTTTATTTTGTCAGTTCTTTGTTTATTGCTGTTTTATGTTCTCTCTCTCTCTGCCTCTGTCTCTGTCTCTGTGTCTCTCTCTCTCTCTCTCCCTCTCTCTCTATATATACACACGTCCTCCTCCCCCTCCTCCTCCTCCTCCTCCTCCTTCTCGAGGCCCGCTGAGAGCGCCCCAAAAGCCGAAAACGGCCCCAAACCTCCCGTCGTGACTTCTTCACGACGCGAGGAGGTGGGAGCCACTCTTGTTCTTCTTCTTCTTCTTCTCCCTCTCCTCCTCCTCCTCCTCTTCCTCCTCCTCCTCCTCCTCCTCCTCCATGCCTTTTCCTGATAGAAGCTCCTCCCTGTCGCACCCCGAGACGTGTCGGTACGGCGGGCTGGGCGTTCCGCCTGAGACTCTTTCGCCAATTCTGATCCTGGAGCTGCAGAGTTGCAATAGCTTCACGGATGGAGGACGGGTGCCTTTCAAATTGTGTTCATCGACTGAGCGCCGCACACACGCGTCCTAACAATTGCAACGGCTTCACGGATTGAGGACGGGTGGTTTTCAAAATGTGGCTCTCGCCCGAGCGCCGCGCACATACGCCTTGGAAGGCTACCAACGTTTCGGGGGCTCGCATAGTCGAAGTCTCAAGAATTGAGTTCTGGCACGGTTGATGCGTGTCAGGACGCAGCAGTCATGTTGATTCGCGGTCTTACAAACCCAGGAAAAGGCGTTCTGGCCAGATTTAGGGTTGTCAGGCCGCAACAACAATGATGTTGATCCTCGTTGTTGAAGTCCCAGGAGCGCCTTTAACACGATTGGGGATTCTCAAACGGTTATCTTCTAATGGGCCTTTTCCCGCAATGATGCTATATTCTTGCAGGGACCTATGAAGAGGGAACGTGGAGGGATGGTGTATTTCAACATCGTTGATATGTCTTGGGTTTACACTTGTCCTCCTCGTCCTCCTCCACCGAAATTGTTTCTCGAATCATAGCTCGGGTCTCCGGCAGCCGTTCGGGGCAATCCGGCCACTCCAGGAGCGCTCTCGACGAGGCGCAGCCGCTGGAAAACATTATCAGGCTGGCAAACTTGCCGGAACCGACGGAAACGCCAGCTAACGTCGAGCTTCCCCCCCCCCCTGGCGTTTCCTTCTTCCTGGATCCTGGAATACTTCCTCTTCCTCCTCCGCCTCCTCCTCCTCCACCTCCTCCTCCTTCTCCTTCACCTCCTCCTACGCGAAGCTCGAAGCTAAAGGCTGGCTCGGTCGATGGATGACCCGATGCCTGTCCCAGCCCTCCCTGCGGAAGGGCTGTCGTTGAAAGCAGGCTCTTCTGGCTAACGGGGGGGCTACCCGAGGAGGCGAGGGAGACCGACCGAAGGGGACGACCCGAGAAGGCAGACAGCAGAGGAGGGGAAGCGAGAGAGGCGATGCAGAGCGGGAGGGCAGCAAGCACGACGAGGAGAAGCGGGAGAGGGGAGGGGGAGGGTCGCCAACATGGTCGACGCACCCCTAAGAATCCCCCGAGGGGGTTCACTAGGGGGGGGGGTCGCTGGCATCGGCGGCCCTGTGGTTAAGGCCAACCTCCGCCAGACCTCGTCTCACTCACATCCTCCCTCTCCTTCCTGACGCAGCTGGACCTGCCGCCGCGGGCGTGGCCTAACTCCCGGGCCGCTTAATTCCTTGAGCTCGTCGCTGTGCGTCTGGCTCAAGAGGTTGCCGTGGGGGTGTGGTGTCGTCCCCTCGGGGGGTGCTGTCGTGCGATTGCGGTTGCAAGCAGTGGTGTTGGTGGTGAGATTGGCCGTGGGGGTCGTCGGGTCGTCGTCGCACGGGTGCTTCATGGGCTTAGCTGCCCCGATACGCAACACGCAACACGTACCGTATCGATACGGAACTCAACACGTAGGCTGAAAACGTAGGTCCGACGCGATACATTCGCCAAAACGTGGTCCAATACGTGGCGCCAACACGCAACGTATTGAAACGGACGTCTTGAACACGGGACGTGTTGCCTTTCAAAACGCGCGTATCGAGGCAACTAAGTTCATGGGTGGCGATCCAGGAGGTGAACCCAGCCCGTGCCACGGATCAGGTCCCCGTGCAGCGAAGGGTAGAGATGCAGGGCGATGCCAGGCAGCGGAGAGAGAGAGAGAGAGAGAGAGAGAGAGACTGGGGAACGGGTGCGAGCCGATGGCTTTCTGGGCCCGTCTGGATGTCCCAGATCGCTGGCCAGCCGTGGTGCAGTCTATGGTGTGTGGGGGCGAATCGCACGCGCCGAGTAAAGCTGCTGTCGGGAGGGGCGCCGTCGCTTGGGAGATCGTCGAGCTCCAAGCTCCGTGGGGCTCGGGCGGGATCCTCGCCATCGTAGGGGGCACGGGTGTAGTGGCCGTCGGGGTGGCGGTGGCGTTGTGGCCGTCGGTGGCCGTCGGAAGTCGTCGGCGGCCGCTGTGGCCGTCGGGGTGGTCGTTGAGGCGGCCGTAGGAGCGCGGAGGAGGCGCGTCCGCGAAGCGCACCCTCCGCGGCAAGGGAGAGGAAGATTCGTCTGGGGAGGGGTCGTGGGAGCCGTGGTTGTCGGGGAGCGTCGTCAAAGCGCACTTGCCAGGGAAGGGGTGGGGCGTGGGGCACCGCGCTGGTGAATCGCATCCACCGTGGGGAGGGGTCGCGAGGGGCGTCGAGAGGAGAGGTCGGCGGGGCGTCGGGTAGGGGTCGGGGGAGGCAGGTCGGGCGTCGGTGGGTCCGGCTGGCCGGTCGGCCGTCGGTGGGTCCGGCTGGCCTCGAGGTCCCACCGGCTGCATGTCATCCACTTGGGAGCGCCAGGCAGGGCGTGGGAGAGGGCGTCGTGGGCAGGGAAGGGGCGCCGGGTCCGTCGGGTTGGGGTGGAAGGTCGGGCGGAGCACCGGGTAAGGTGTGGGGCGGCGGGGCGGCGGGTAGGGGTCGTGGGAGGCAGGTCGGCCGTCGGTGGGTCCAGCTGGCCTTGAGGCCCCACCGGCTGCATGCCATCCACTTGGGAGCGTCGGGCAGGGCGTGGGAGAGGGCGTCGTGGGCGGGGAAGGGGCGTCGGGTCCGTCGGGTGGGGGTGGAAGGTCGGGCGGAGCACTGGGTCAGGTGTGGGGCGACGGGGAAGCGTGGGGGAGGTCGTCGAAAAGGTCGTCGTCCTTGTCCTCGTCTCGCCTGGGCTGCTGCCCAGTGCTGTCGTAGAGGCCGTGGGCTGGCCGTCGGGTCGGCCGCCGGTTGCGCCGCCGGGTCGGCGGCGTTGTGTGCCGTCGGGTCGGAGGTAGGGTTAGCCGTCGGGCCAGGCGTCGGTCTGGGCGTCGTGGAGGCTGTTGGGTTGGCCAATGTGTTGGCCGATGTCGTCCGTCGGTTGCGTCGTACGGTCGCGTCCGGTCGGTGGGTCGGCGGACAGGGGTGGCGTGGCGTCGGCCGCGGGGTCGGGGGTCGGGTCGTCCGTCCTGTGGGCCGTCCGTGCGGGCACCGCTGACCGCGTAGCCGAAGTAGACCCCGCCAGAGTCGGGCATGTGGTGTGCGTTGGGCGGGGCATCGGGCAAGGAGTGGGGCGGGGCGTCGGGCTGGGGAGTCGGGCAAGGCGTCGGGCGAGGGCTCGGGCAGGGCTTCCGGGCACGGCGTCGGGCCGTCGTGATAAGGCGTCGTGAGGCCAGGGCGTCGAGTAGGGTGTTCGTAGGGGGGGGCGTCGTTGTGGGAGGCGCGTCGTCGTGGGGAAGGGCGTCGGGTCGTCGTCGTAGAGTTCGCATTTCTGAAACAAGTATTATTGATTCCCCCCCTGGTGCACCTTGTGTTTTTTAACTGAACTGCTCCTCTCAAGCTCGCGCCGTGTTTTTGACAAGGGAAAAACTTGAAGCTCAGAATGCGTTGTTGGCCCACGAAGCACCACAACAACGGCTCCCTCCGGATACTTCGCACATTTTTTCAAATTTTGCTCTGGCGAGGGATTTCCTCACAATTGATGCAGGACTCGCGCTCTCGCGCGGGACTTCCTCGAAATGTATTGAAACGCCGCGCCCTCGACACTCAAGAAACACACTCTCGCTCTGGACTTCCTCACGAGTACTCAAGAATCGCGCTATCCCTCAAGACTTCCTCGCGATTCATGCACGACTGACGCTTCAACGACGCGCCCTGTCGACCCGGCTGTCTGGGCTTGCCCGCCTGAACCACCCTAAGGTCTGCCCGCCCGACCCGCACGTGTCTGCTCCGAACCCCCTCCTGGTAATCTCTCTCGTGCTCCATCCTTCTCGTTCCCTTTGTCCCTTGCCTCCTCCCCCCTTTTCCCCTGTGTTAGTGGCTGCGCCAACTACACATGACAGGTAAGGAAGATAAGCCCACCAGGGGGGCACGTCCGAAGTCGAAGAGGGCGGGTATCGATAATTTAGGACATACATGTTGCATGCATGCATGCGAACATATTAGAGCGAAGCGTCTGAAAATGATTGTTCTCGTGGTCGGTAGCGTCGTAAGAACAGGCCTTGGGTCGTCCGTCTGGGCAAATTTTGACGTGGTCGTCGTCGCCGTCGCGGGGGGCGTCGTCGTCGTTGTCGTCGCCGCCGTCGGGGAAGCTGGGAGAGCCTTGAGGGAGGCGTCCAAAGGTGGCATCGAGTCGGCCGGAAAATCGGCTGTCGTGTCGTCCGTCCTGTGGGCCGTATGGCCGTCCGTGTAGGTAGCGCTCACCGCGTAGACGCGATAGTCCCAGTAAGAAGACAGGCGTGGGGTGGCTGTCGGGCGAAGGGTCATCTTGGTGCGGCATCGCAGGAGGGCTGGGGGCCGTCGTGGGGGGCCGTCTCGAGATCCGTTGGGTGGGCGATCGCGGGCAGTCGGGTAGGGCGAGGGGCAGTCGGATCGGGTGAGGGGCCATGGGTATGTGGGGGGGGCGCGGGGGCAGGAGTAGGGAAGGCCAGGTGCGTCGGGCTGATTGTAGGGTGAGGCGTCGGGCTGGGCGTCGGATAAGACGTCGGGTGGGGCGTCGGGCAGGGCGTCGAATCGTCGTGCCGAGGCGTCGTGGCAGGGCTGGGCGTCGTTGTGAGGGCCGTGTCGTGGGGAAGGGGAACGCGGGGGCAAGCGTGGGAAAGGGCAGGCGCGTCGGGCTGAGTTTAGAATGGGAGTCGGGCGGGGCGTCGGTATGATTGTCGACATACGCTCTGGTGCTGGAGTCGATGGTCGCGAGTATGTTCGTGACCAGGTTTGGCACAAATTCAAGAGCGTCCGCGTTCAGAGTAGAGGGGCTGGCGTCGTGGTGCAGCTGCTGGTGCCCGTCTTCGTGCGCCCTACAAGGTCGCCGATGCTGGCGTTAGTGGCCCAGTGGCACGGCCGGTGCGAAGGTGGCCGCCTCCTTTCTCATGGTGGAGGGCTGTCTGTCTGTCTGTCTGTCTGTCTGTCTGTCTGTCTGTCTGTCTGTCTGTCTGTCTGTCTGTCTGTCTGTCTGTCTGCGTGGAGGTGCTCGTCGTCTCTGATGCCGTAGTGGTTTGCGGTCGTGCTGCTGGCTGTTGCTATGGCCTCGGTGAGTCGTGCTATGTCCCTGAAGTCGACTCTGTAGCATCGTCGGATGGCGAAGCCGATCCACCTGGCTGCGCGGCTAGTTACAGGGCGGCGCAAGCAACCTCTGCTCCGTGGAGCCAGCGACATTCTCGTAGCTGTGGCCCCGGATGTCGGACACGTTGGCGCGCCTGGCGCACATGTGCCTCGCGAGCGCCATGACACCAGCGCCGCGCCTGGCCGCCGCCATGAAAGGGCGCATTCGCTGCAAACGCTCGGGCGTCCGCGGCTCCTCCTCCTCCTCCTCCTCCTCCTCCTCCTCCTCCTCCTCCTCCTCCTCCTCCTCCTCCTCGTGCTCGTCATTCTCCTCGTGCTCGTTCTGTTCCTCCTCCTCCTCCTCCTCATCCTCCTCCTCCTCCTCCGTCTTCTCCTCCTCCGTCTTCTCCTCCTCCGTCTTCTCCTCCTGCTCGTCCTCCTTCTTCTCCTCCTCCTCCTCCTCGTCCTCCTCGTCGTCGTCGTCCTCGTCGTCCTCTTCCTCGTCGCGTCTTCCTCCTCGAAGGGAAAGAAGGACCTGCTCCTCCCCCAGCGCCTCCGCGCGGGCGGCCCAATGCCTGCACACGCAGGCCAGCCAGCCGACTGGCGTGCCAGCCTCCAGCGGGCCGGGGGCCCCAGGGGGGAGGCGGCGAGTCGGGTCGGGGGGGGGTCTCCTCCTTTGCCTCCTGCTCCTCCTGTCCCTCGCTCCTCCCTCCTCCCTCCTCCCCCTCCAGGTGGCTCGGGAGAGGCGAAGATGGTTCGTTTGCCCGTGGAACCGAGCCCCCGCCCCTGCGCGGGCGACCAGTCTTTAAGCGTCAGACACCCCGCCAGGCAGGCAGTGGTAATGACAAATATAAGAACAAGGCAACTCAGCAGATCGAAGAAGATATGGTAACCTTTTTCTCCAGGGTGAGGAGGGATTTCAGCCAAGCAGGCAAGAGGAGTTGCCCAGATAGGAAGTTGTTAGCGTAGCCAGTTCACCCTTCATCGGTAAAGGCACTCCATCTCAAGTTTCACCTGAAGGCGCAAGAATACTCGGGTGAATTCAGTACATATTACCAGTCACCGTTCAAGGCCGTTGCCCCAGGCAGTGAAGGTGACCTGCGCATCGTGCCCGCCCTGCCAAAAGAAACTCATAATCATGTGCACTGGGAACCGCCTCCAGCTGATCCGACATTGATTGCAAGTCACATCTTGAGGTTGCAAGGTGAGTTGTCCGCTCTAGGTCCTGGCATCCGATTGAAGAGGAACAAAAAGGTGATGAGACGGATGCAGAAGAGGAGTGATGCGCCACGATTCTAACAACTTTCCAGACGTCCCTTACCATTGACGGCAATCCGCATTTCACCGACATGATGTCAGCGACGAAAGAGAAATCGTCAGCCCCTATTGCAGTCAGGGCAGCATTCCTCAACGTTCTCACCCTGAGGCCAACATATTCCAAGGCCAACAGAACAGGGGCAGGTTGCGCATTCGAGACCCAGTCGTCCAATGGCACGGGGGCCCTGTCCCCCGTTATGCGTTTCCATTCGTGGCCCCTGCCTCCCCTGACTCCAAATCCACCGTGCATTGGTCCATTTCTCGGCTTAAGATTGTCGGAAATGCACCCCAAACGAACGAACCAACAAACATGATGGACCTGTCCGCCCGCTTCGGGAAAGTAGGGCGGACATCTCCGCAAACATAATATGGAAGCAGCGACGATAAAGTAGAGCAGACATTGACAGCAAAGGAACATTGAAAATAAGGCGGAAATGTCCGCCCTACTTGCGACGTCACCCAAAGTACGGCGGATCCGGATTCTGGGTCGGCGCTTCACGGGGCCGTCATACGGCGCAGCCATCACCCCCCCAGCGGCGGTCGCCGCTGGGGGAGTGATCAAGTCAGGATAGCTGTAAGTCAAAAGAACCTCCTCCTCCTCCTCCTCCTCCTCCTCCTCCTCCTCCTCCTCCTCCTCTTCCTCCTCCTCTGTGGGGAGGCCTCCGACTTTGGCTGATTGTCGGTGACGTGCTGGTTTCAGGCCCGTCCCCAACAACCTCCTCCTCGGGGGCCCTCGGGGCCTGGCCGGTGGAAAGGGGAAGGAGGCGCTGGCCTGCGGGAGCATCAGGCGTGCGCCTGCGTAGCGGAGCAGCATGCGCCGCAGCTCCTCGCGGCCCCAGCCTCTGGGGAGGATGGGGGGGGGTACAGGACTCCTCCCTTTCCTCCTCGAGAGGAGCGGTCGACGGACAAAAACCTGCACCTCTCATGCTGGTTGTTGTGCCCCCCCCCGACCCAATGTAATATTGGCGGGCTGCGCCGCAGTGTGTCTCGACTGGCCGAAATTCTGCGCACTGCTGGCGATGCCAACCAACATTGGATCGGGAGCCGGGGCACGTTGAAGTTTTTTCGCCAGTACCCCGGTCGCGCGGGTGGTGCAGGAGCTTGCCCATCAAACGAGGAGGAGGAGTAGGAAGAGGAGGAAGAGGAGGAGGATGGATGGATGGATGGATGGATGGATGGATGGATGGATGGATGGATGGATGGATGGGACGTCATTGCAGAAGCCCTGGCGGCCGTCCGCAAGCAAACGACCGCCAGGACCCCAGATGTCACGGAGTCCGCTACGCGGCCGCGCTCCCCGCGCGCGGCGGTGGCGCACTCGTCGGCGGCGCCCGAAGCGCGTCCGCTCGCTCCTCGCCACCGCGCGCGGCCTGGGGGTGGCTGCAAGGTACCCCAGGCGCGGCGGTGGCCCCGCGGGGCGCCGCGCTGGCGGCACTTCCCCGCCCTCCGCCAGCCGCCACGGCGGCCAGCCGCTCCTCACCCCTGCGCGCGGCCTGGGGTGGGGGGGCTGTTGGGTACCCCAGGCGCGGCAGGGGCCCCGCAGGGCGCCGCGCTGGCAGAATTTTCCCCGCATGATGGGCGGGGTTCTCCCCGCCTGCTGCGCCTCGCCGCTCTTCCACGCGGGGTGGGCGCGAGGTTGCCCCTGGCTCGGGGGCGGGGCATCGGGGTGCTCAGCGAGCTGCTCCCCGCCCCGCCCGGACCTTCGCACCGCCCCTCCTGGCAGCCGGGGCCCCGCCCACGCCGCCGCTCCAGCGGCGGCGCTCTCTCCCCTCCTCGCGCCAGCGGCGGCCCACGGGCAGGGCCGCAGGTCCGCGGTGTTTGGGGGGCTCACGGGCGCCCCAGCAGCCTGAACCACTTGCGGCAGGTGGGGGGCGCTGCGGCAGACGGGGCAGCCGCCGCAGCTGCCGCCATGCCGCACTTGGCGAGCTGCGCCAAGCCTTCCTTCAGCCAAGCAAACGGGGACGGCGAGGGGGTCGGCGGCGCCCTGCGGCTGGCAGCAGCTCTGGACGGTGAACGGCTCCCGAATCTGGGTCGTCGGGGCGGCGGGATCTAGGGCGGTTGCTGGTCGGCTGCCGGCCGCGCTGGACGGCCTCCCCCCCGCGCCTCCTCGCGCAGCTCCCTGGCCCTCCGCTGCCTCATGCGCCAGGCCCCTCCAGGTGGCGAGTTCACGAAGAGGGAGCTGAACGGCTCCGCCGCAAGGAACGCGGACATCTCTTCCATGCAGTTGGCCATCCACTGCCCAGTAAGGTCGGCCAGTCCGTCGAGGAAGTGCCTGAGCCGCTGCTCTGCTTGGTGCGCGTGGAAGTCCGTGGCCGCGGCTGGCTGGCTGCCAGCCAGAGTGCGCATCCACGAGCATCGAATTTCCTTCGAGGCGGTAGCACGACGTGGCGACTTTGAGCCTGGGGTGTTCCCTCTCGCGGGGTTTTCCTCAAGTCCTTGGGCCTCCCTGCCGATGCCGCCGTGGATGTCGCCCTTGGCCATGACCTGGTACTGGCCCTGCTGCAGCTCCTGAGCACGTGCGCTGCGATGGTAGTCCCAAAGACTCCACTACGCCGCACTCGAAGAAGCAGTCGGAGCCGACCTGCTCCAATATGGGCATCGGTAGCCGTGCACTGTTACGGCTGTCCCCGTGACTCTCCGCTACGCCGTGCGCCGTGCTTCCACTGGGCGGGCCGCCCCTTCGCTCCTCAGGGGGCAGTCGAACGCGTCCATGTCCACGCTGGGCGGGCGCCTGTCCTTAACGCACTGGCCGCGCAGCGGTCGTCGCAGCCGTAGCGCCTCGAAGTGCGGTTCCCACCAGGGGCCCGTCCTTAGGATAGCCAGCCGCATGCGCAATAGGACTGCCACCAATAGGCTCCGACGCTCCGACTCGTGGGCCAGTGGGGGTACAGGGCCTAGGCATGCGCCGTCTCGCGAGCGTCTCTGTGGGCCCGAACTGCCTGCCACCAAGGGCTCTGCGGAACATCACGGGGATGTTGTGGAACTCCTGAGCATGTCGTTGGTCCATCCGCTGGCGCTCCTCGAGATTGGCCCCCTCGCAGCCAACGGCGAAAGCTCGCCGCCTCAGCTCGTCTTGGCGCCGAGCGCCGGCACAGAGGTCCTGCGCGATTTCGCCGATCGGCCTGCCGAACCACCGCCTAAGGCTCTGGAGTAGGGGATGACTGCCCTGGGCCAACATCGTGCTGAGGAATAGCACGCGCTGCTTCTGCCGTGCGTGCTGGTCGCTGCTCTGAATCGTGGCGCCGTTGAACCAGTGCGCCGCCCAGTCGCGGAGGTAGTGGCGCATGTCGATGTAGTCCCTCTCCACCTGGTGTTGCTCTGGAGGGGCAGGTGGTGGGGGGCCCGTCGCCGACGGGGCTTGTGTCCCTCGGGCCGCTACATCCTGCCTCTGGCAGCTGTCTGGGCGACGCGAGCGGCGGCAGGGGGTGGGCGGCCTGCTCGCGCCTGGCCGCGCAGCGGCCGCCGCAACTGCAGCGCCTCGTGACGCGGGCCCCACCAGGGACCCGCCATTATGATAACCCTCCGCTCGTGCAGAAGGGCTGCCATCGGGAGGCTCTGATGCGGCGACTTGCGGGCCGGGGGCAACGCCTTGCAGGGCGGAGCGACGCCTGCAGGGCGACGCCGTGCCGCTGGGACTCCCTCCGTGAGCCTTGAGGGTGGCTGTCCCTGCCGCGGGAGGCCTGGAGGAACAACTTGACCTTCTCTTGCGGGGTGCGCTGGTCGGCGCTTGCGCTAGTGCCATTCCCTCCGCAAGGGCCGGGGGACACTTCCGCAGCTGCCGTTGGGCGCGGGGGCAGGCTGCCGCGGCGCGGGCGCAGCCCGCTCAGTGGGCCTGGCCGTTGCCGATGCGTTGGCGGTAGCCTCGCAGTAGAGGATGACCCCGCCCGAATACGGCGCCGCGTGGTCCTGCAGCCACAGTCTGGGGCCTGGCATGGCCGACGTCGGCAGGCCAAGGGTAGCCCTCCTAGGTGCTGGGCTGCTGCGCTCCCGCTCGGGGCGCTGCGGGCGCCTGCTGCCCATGGCTGCAGGTGTCCCCGCGCTGGCCGCTGCCGCCGCTGCAGGTGTCCCCGCGGCGGGGCTGGCCGCTGCCGCTGCAGCAGTCGTCCCCGCGCTGCGTCTCCTCGTGGTGGCGTGGCCAGAGGTCGTGACGAGGTCGTGCTGCCCGCGCCGCTGGTCCTGGAGCGGGATGGCCTGGCTGCCGAACTGGTCGCTTGGCCGTGCAGGATGCTGATGGCCGCAGTGAACTGCTCCTCCGCTGCGGAGGGGGGGGGGGGGGGGGGGGCTGCTGAGCCGGCGGCGGCATCTGGGGGTCGGGCGGGGCCAGACCGCCCGCTGCAACGTGGGCGATGGCGGAACCGATGCGACCCGCCTGGGCGGTGGCCTGCGGGGGGCCGCAGTGGGAGGGAGGCCGACCTCGCCATCCTCTTGAGGGCCTCCGCCGACTTGCGGGAAATGGTGCCCTTGCACTCCGCCCGAAGCCTCATGCCAGCTTTCGTGCCGTAGGCGCCGCGCACGTTGCAGAAGAAGAGGCTGTGGGTGGGCCGCTCCATGATGCGGAGCGAGCTGTGGATGGCCCCCGTGCCCATGGCGACTGGGCTGCCTCGCGTGCCCTCGATGACGTGGTCGAAAAAGGCCCAGTCGATGGCTGAAGGGTGGCAGGGTCCCGCAGCCGCCTCCCTGAGCGTGGCGAGGAAGAACAGCTGGCGGCAGAGGAGGCGCATCCACTTGCCCTGGCCCAGGGCGACGACCTGGTGCTCCGATCTGTCGATGGCACTCAGGAGACGGGAAAAGTGGGCGGCCGACTCAGCTGCTGGCCTCTCGGTGAACCAGGGGTCGCCGCCAGCCGCGCCCAAGAGCGCCCGTCTCGCGCGCCTCCTGATCTGCGAAGCAATGACGTCCCAGCTGTCGGCGTGCGGGGCACTGACCGCGGCGGTCTGCTGAGCGATCTGAACGCCGAGGTTAGCTAGCCTGTCGGCGCAGCAGTTGCCCGTGGCCAGATGCTGCGAGATAATGGGCTCCCCGTCGTCGCCCTGGTGGGAGGGCGTCCTGGTGGCCTTGGCCCGCCCGTTGGGCTGGGCCGCCAGTGCTCTGCCAACGCGCGCCCAGAGGTCACTGTCCCTGCCGCCGCTCAGGTTGGTCCAGCGCTGCCTGTCCCACGCGGTCAGCAGCGGCTTATGGTCTGTGACGAACTCGACATCGGCGCTCGTGCGCTCGATGCCCACGACGAAGGCGTAGATCTCTCCGCGAGGAACCGTTTGCTCTCGCCCAGGAAGCGTGGCGATGGCCCCCGCGCAAGGCTGCCAACGGCCACTGGTGTTCGAGATGAGGGCGAGGCCGACGTCGACCCTCCTTCCGCGAGAGTCGTCGCTGTGCTTGCCGCCCGGGGCGTCGCCGAAGATCGCGCGCGGCCCGTCCTACGGCTCCGGCCAGGGGTGGCCGACCAGCACGAACCTCTCCTCGCGTGGCTGCGGTGGCGGCGGGGTGGAGTTGGCGGCTGGGTTGATACCTCGGAGACACAACGCTGGACATCCATCGACGCGGTTGAAGGCCTGCGGGGCCAGGTGGGCCGTCTGGTCGCAGGCTGGCTTGCCCGCGTTGCACGAAAATCGCCAAATGCGGTGCTCGAGAGACTCCTCATCCGCGAGGCAGCGCTAACAAAGAGGGGACCCTTGATACCCCGCGCTGATCTGCCTCTGCCTCGGCCACTGCCCACCCGCCGCCACTGGGCAATTGAAGGCCCACTCCTACCAGCGGCCCTCTTTAGCGCAATGATTGTTGAGCTCTCGTTTGATCTGCGATGCGTCGCCGTTGCCGCCAAGTCCTGCGCCATGGGCATGCTCCGCAGCTCGCTTCCACCGCGGGGCGTCCAGGTCCTCGGCGAGGTCGTCGACCAGCTCGGAGAATTCGTAGAAGCCGACCATGAGGCAACCGTTGGCGTCAGCCAGGGGGATGGTCACTCCCCCGCGCCTTCCGCCGTTGACCTTATCCACGAGTCAGGCCTGGCTGGGCGCCACCCAGCGTCGACCAGCGTGGCGATGATGGCTGCCACTGGCCCCCTGACCTTCCTCCATCTGCCTCCCTTCGCGCGAAGGAGTCGATGGCGCGCGTGAGGCCGCGCGCGCTGAGCCCGCTTGTGAATCTGGGGCTTCGCCAGCCACTGCGCGAGCCACTCGTTGACCAGCTGGGTGCGGAGCTTGATGGCTGGGTCTTTGTGGTGGTTAAGAGTGGCCATGGCGGCGTCTAGGCAGCGCCCTGGGCCTGCGCCGGCAGCCGCTGCCGCAGCCGCTCGACGGAGCTGAGTGATGCGCGAGGGGGCGACGCCCCACACCTCGTGCCCAAAAACCGCCTGTGGCTGCGCCCCCGCGGCGTGGAGGCCGGCCCCGAGCTTGCCGAGGCGGGCAGCCGCTCGGTGGAAGCGGGTGGCGCGCCTGGCTCGCTCAGCCGCCCTCTCATGCCTTGCGCTCGCCTTCCGCTGGGCCCGGTGCTTGCCCGTGGCCGCGTCCACCCCGAGGTCTGCCATGCTGGTGGCTGCGTGCCCTGGAACACCCAGCATCCGCATGCGTCTGGCGATGGACTTGCGCAGGTTGGCCGCGGTCGCGACGAGGGGGTGGTCTTCGGGGGGGCCGCGAAGCGATTTCTCGCGCACTCCTGGGCCAGCGCCGAGCTGGCTGCGGCGAGGGGGCTGGTGGCGAGGTCCCTGGTCCCCTCGGCCCGCCAGACCGCGTCGTCGATGTAGGATCAGATGGCGGTGGCCTGCGCCTGTTCCTGGGGCCGCCTGCAGGGCCGGGCAGAGGAAGGCCCCGCCGAACCGGGCGCCGTTGGTAGAACCCGCGACGATGGACTGGCTGGCGAAGATCGGGGGGCCAACCCACCCCCCCTCTTGAGGTAGTGCGGCGCGAGAAAAGCCCCCGCGTGCAGGGCCAAAATGGTGGGCGAGAAACGCGGGTGGAGGGCCCTCTCGATGAGCCAGGCCAGGTCGATCGAGTCGAATAACTTCTCGATGTCGGCGTAGAGGGGCGCATGATGCACGCCTAAGTGCTGGGCCGTCTCGTCCAAGGTCGCCCTGTGCAGCGCGGCGCGCAGCGCGGAAGGGGCTTCTAATGGCCGCGTCGCAATGGCCCTCGAGGCCCTGCGACCACTTGTCGACCGCGCCGCTGCGGGCCCGAACCCAGATGCGGACGGGCATGGGGGAAGGCCCGGGACTCGATCCCCCCCTGGGGGCTTGCCCACCACTGCGCCCAGCGTGCAATTGGGCTGCGGCGGCCACGTGCAGTGCCGCTCGGCCAGGTGGAGGATGTCCAGGAACTGTTTCTTGCCGCTGTCGGGGGGCCTCTCGATGTCGAGGGGGCTCGGTCTGTCCACGCCTCGGGCTTTGCGCGCCTCGAGTTTGCGCGTGACAGCGCCGAGCCAATCCAGCTCGAGCGGTGGTCGGTCCTCGTCAGCAGCTCGCTGGCGAAACTGGGCCAGCGCCGATGGAATGACTGACTTCCGGTCGTGCGTGGCGGACCTGACTTTGGCCCAGGCGGCCGCCGCGGTCGCCATGGCGTCGACGGGGTGTACCAGCATACAGCCATTGGTCTGGTCCTCGAGGCGCTCCATGTCGCCGTCCTTGACCCAGCGGTGGAGCTGCCCCGCGGCGGCCTTGTCCGCCCGGGCCGCGAAGCCGCGCCTGCCTTCCTGCAGGGCTCTCCTCCCAGCGTCGCCAGCAAGCGTTCGGGCAAGGTCCCGAAGCGCGGCCAGGTCGCGCGAGGTCCTCCCGCCAAGATCCGTGGCCCTCGCCGCGTGCGCTTGGAACTTTCCTGGGAGCTTTGCGGCGGACGGCTTGGCGATGTCGCGCGGGGTGGAGAGGTGGAGGTCCTTCCGCCGCAGCATCTGCCTAGTGCCCTTGCCGCTGGCTGCCAATGCGGCGATGGCCGCGAGGTCGGCGTGGCGGGTGGCCCACGCGTCGGCCTCGGGGTCGCGGCGGCGCGCGCAGCCAGGGCTGGCCGCTGCGAGCTTCCAGGTTAGCCCAAAGCCCCTGGCCCCACCTCGCATCGCATCCCAGTTGAACTCGACCCCCCCTTCGTGCACGAGGATGGCAACCTCCGGCCGGGAGGCCCACGAGCCGTAGAGGTGGGCCAAAGTGTGCGCCTGCAGCGTGCGCGCCTAGATGAAAGGATGCCGCAGGTTGCCGGGTGGCGACGCCTCGCTGTGCCTGCTACGGGTGGCCTCCGCGCCCCCGCCCCCTTCGGGGCCGGGAAGGGGGTGGCCGTGACTGGCGGTCCAGGGCCGCGGGCTGGGAACTCCTGCTGCTCCGGGAAAACCAAGCAGCTTGTTGGCGGCCTGCTGCCAGCTGCGCTGGATGCACTCGCTCCCTGAGTCCACATCGGGCGCGCCAGCGACGGTGGCGCCCGAGTGCGCCGCGTGCTCAGGCCCCCCCTCCAGGTCGTCGAAGGGGGCCCGCATGTCGAAATCATTCGAAGGCCCCTGCGCGCGTGCTGGGTGGGGGGGGATCCGTGCCAAATAATACGATGCGGGCCACTCTCGCGAGTCGGCCGCGCGCGCATGTCGAACTCCTTCCATAACCTTCATCACCGACGCGAAGACGCCGCCACCGTCGCCGGCGTGATCAGCGTCGGCGCCTGCACTGGCCGCGCCTTCGTCGTTGTCAACATCGCCACCAACATCGCTACTATCATCGTCGTCTCTGCCGTTGTCGACGTTGCCATGATACCGCACCCGCCCAAGCCGCCGACTCGCACTCAAGTGCCCGCCTGGATGTGCCGAGCGGTCAGCACCACCGCGGCCGCAGAGATGCACCAGCCAACGCCAAGCATGCATCGCAATCGCCACCGCATGGTTTTGCAAACCAAGTTGCGGGTGGGTGGGCGGGATGTTTGCAAGAGCGCGGGATGTGCCAACTCCCTTGTTTAACAAACAATTCTCCTTTCTCGAAAAAGAATAGACTCTGCCCCCCCCCCTGGCGTTATCCGCCCCCCTTTCGGGTATGTAAATCACATACGATTCTGACCACATGTCCATCCAACATATGAGTTTACACTATCACAGCGGAACCGGTATCGACCCCCCTGAGGTTCCCTTGTAAAAAAACTATACGCGGGGACATCACGTAAGACTTGTTCACGATTCCCTTGCAAAAACTGGCACGAAGTGCACACGCGCGCGCCGTCGCGCGCGCATGCCGAAATCCTTCAACAACCGTCGGTGTCGGAAGGATTTCGCAATCGAGTTTCCAACAAAACATACAAACAATACAGGGTTGCGCAACACTGATGTGCAAAAAAAGCTTACGCGCGAGCTCTTGCGAAGTCTGAAGAAAACCAGAGGTTCAAGATTTTCACAAAATGCTACCAACGGGCTTCGCGCGCGCGCATGTCGAAATCAGTCGAACGCCCTTGCGCGCGTGCCGTCGCGAGAATCCTCTGCAACAGATGGGGCGAAGTGCAGACGAGCGCGTCGTCGCGCGCGTATGCCGAAATCCTTCAAAACCCCAAACCCATCGGATTCGGAAGGGTTGCGAAATCGTGTCCGATAAACCTACAAAAACACAAGGTTCCGCAACGCGGATTTTCAAAGAAAGCGTGCGCGCGCGGTCTTGCGTCGTCATCGTCGTCGTCGTCGTTGCCGTCCTCCCTCCTCCCGCGTCGTCGTCGTCGTCGTCGCCTACGTCGTCCTCTGTTTTTCCTCGTGTTCGTCGTCGTCGTCCTCTTTGGCGTCGTGGTCGTTTCCGTCGTCGTTGTTGCCGTGGTCGTCCTTCCTCCTCCTCCCTCGTCGTCGTCGTCGTCGTCCGTCGTCGGAGTCTCGTCGTCGTCCCTCCTACTTCGTCGCCGTCGTCGTCGTCGTCGCCGTTGTCGTCGTCGTCTTCCCTCCTCCCTCGTCGTTGTCGTCGTCGGCGTCGCCGTCATTCCTCCTTCTTCGTCGTTCGCGTCGTCGCCGTCCTCCCTCCTCCCTCCTCCCTCGTCGTTGTCGTCGTTGTCGTCGTTGTCGCCGTCGTCGTCCTCCCTCCTCCCTCGTCGTCGTCTTCGTTGGCGACGTCGTCGTCGTCGTCGTCGGCGACGGCGTCGTCGTCGTCGTTGTCGACGTCGGCGTCGTCGTCGTCGCCGCCGTCGTCGTCGTCGTCGGCGGCGGCGGCGGCGTTGACGTCGTCGTCGTCGTCGGTGTCGTCGTTGTCGTCGTCGGCGTCGTCATCGTCGTCGTTGTCATCGTCGTCGTCGTCATCGGCGTCGGCGTCGTCGTCGTTGTCGGTGTCGTCGTCGTCGCCGTCGTCGTTGTCGGCGTCGTAGAAGTCGTTGGAGACGTCGTCGGTGTCGTCGTAGTCGTTGTCGGCGGCGTCGTCGTCGTTGTCGCTGTCGTCGTCGTCGTCGCTGTCGCTGCCAAGTGCCATTTGGTACCCACCGTCACGGTCTTAAGAGATTTTGCAAACCAAGTTGCGGTTGGGTGGGTGGGAAGTTTGCGCGAGTAGTGGGGTGGACAACTTACTGCGAACAGAAACAAGTGGCACGCGTGCCCTGGCTCTTGCACTAAGGAGCCGCGAGAGACAGGAGGCTTTCGCCTCCTTCCTCCAGGAATTTATTTTTGTCGCCGCCGGGGGGAGGACGAACGACGAACGAACGACGACGACGAGCGAAAATAAAGAGGTCCGAACTCTAGTACACAGCTGCGCAAGATAACAAAGGGTCCAGGGCGAGGGGGGCTGGGGCCAGGGCCGGGGGGGGGGAGGCTGGGTCCAGGGCCAGGGCCAGCGGGGCAAGGGGGGCGGGGGGCCAGGACCAGGGGAGGAGGCAGGGTCCAGGGCCAGGACCAGAGGGACAACGACAAACGAAAATAAAGGGTCCAGGGCGAGGGGAACTGGGGACAGGGCCGGCGGGGGGGAGGCTGGGTCCAGGCCCTGGGCCAGCGGGGCAAAGGGAGCTGGGGCCAGAACCAGGGGGGGAGGTTGGGTCCAGGGTCAGGACCGGACCAGGGACCCAGCGGGGCGAGGGGGGCTCCACGGGGCCAGGACCAGGGGGGGAGGTTGGGTCCAGGGCCAGAGTCGGACCAGGGACGACGAACGAAAACAAAGGGTCCAGCAAGGGGGGGAGTTGGGTCCAGGGCCAGGACCGGACCAGCTGCCAGGGACGACGACGAGCGAAAATAAAGGGTTGCCAGGGCGAGGTGGGCTGGGGCCAGGGCCGGGGGGGAGGCTGGGTCCAGGGCCAGGGTCAGCGGGGCGACGGGGGCTGGGGCCAGGGCCAGGTGGGGAGGTTGGGTCCAGGGCCGGGACCAGAGGGACAACGACAAACGAAAATAAAGGGTCCAGGGCGAGGGGGATTGGGGACAGGGCCGGCGGGGGGGAGGCTGGGTCCAGGCCCTGGGCCAGCGGGGCGAGGGGAGCTGGGGCCAGGACCAGGGGGGGGGTTGGGTCCAGGGCCAGGACCGGGCCAGGGACGACGACGAGCAAAAATAAAGGGTCCAGGGCGAGGGGGACTGGGGCCAGGGCCGGGTGGGGGGGAGGCTGGGTCCAGGGCCAGGGCCAGCGGGGCGAGGGGGGCTGAGGCCAGGACGGGGTGGGGAGGTTGGGTCCAGGGTCGGGACCGGACCAGGGGCCGGGGACGACGACGAACGAACGAAAATAAAGAGGTCCGAGCTCTAGAGCACAGCTGTGCAAGAGAATAAAGTGGTCGGGGCGAAGGGGGCGGCGCGCTGAAGAGCAAGCTGCAAGACGCCGAAATAAAAAGGGGGCAGCGCGCTGGGCTGCTCGACGACGACGCCGAAATAAAGTCGTCGGGGCGGAGGGGGCGGCGCGCTAGGGACACTGCTGTGGTCGGGGGGATGGGGGCGGGTCGACACAACGCCGAAATAGGGCGACGACGACGCCGAAATAAAGTGGTCGGGGCGGAGAGGGCGGCGCGCTGGGCTGCTGGGGAAAAGGACCGGGGGGGCGACGACGACGCCGAAATAAAGTGGTCGGGGCGGAGGGGGCAGCGCGCTGGGCTGCTGAGGAGAGGGAGAGGGGGGGGGGCGACGACGACGCCGAAATAAAGTCGTCGGGGCGGAGGGGGCGGTGCGCTGGGGTGCTGGGGAGCGACACATAGCGACACATGTCGACACAACGCCGAAATAAAGTGGTCGGGGCGGAGGGGGCAGCGCGCTGGGCTGCTGAGGAGAGGGAGAGGGGGGGGGAGCGACGACGACGCCGAAATAAAGTCGTCGGGGCGGAGGGGGCGGTGCGCTGGGGTGCTGGGGAGCGACACGTAGCGACACATGTCGACACAACGCCGAAATAAAGTGGTCGGGGCGGAGGGGGCAGCGCGCTGGGCTGCTGAGGAGAGGGAGAGGGGGGGGGGCGACGACGACGCCGAAATAAAGTCGTCGGGGCGGAGGGGGCGGTGCGCTGGGGTGCTGGGGAGCGACACATAGCGACACATGTCGACACATATCGACATATAGAGACATATATCGACACACGCATATCGACGCATAGCGACACACAGCGACGCACACATGGAGACGCATATCGACACACAGCGACACATATAGCGGCACATGAAGGGCACAAGGCACACAGCGACACATATAGCGACACATGAAGGGCACAAGGCAGCTGGGGGGGAGCGACGACGACGCCGAAATAAAGTGGTCGGAGCTCTAGACACCCTGCGCAAGAGAATCAATTCTCCTTTCTAATAACAGAATAGGATCTACCCCCCCCGGCGTTATCACTACCCGTTTCGGGTATGTAAATCACATATGATTCTGACCACATGCCCATCCTAAATATGAATTTACACTATCCCCGGGGGGCTGGTATCCCCCCTCTGAGGGCCCCTTGTAAAAAACACTATGCGGTGACATTTTTTGTTCTAACATAACACTTGTTCACGAATCCCTTGCCAAAAACGGGACGAAATGCACACGCGCGCGTCGTCGCGCGCATGCCGAAATCCTTCAAAAACCTTCGGTGCCGGAAGGATTTCGCAATCGAGTTTCCCAAAAAAAAACATACAACAACACAGGGTTTCGCAACACTGGTTTGCAAAAAAAGCTTACGCGCGAACTCTTGCGAGCTCTTGCAAAATGGTATTAAACGGGCTTCGCGCGCGCGTGTCAAAATCTGTCGAACGCCCTTGGCCGTGTGCCGTCGCGAGAATCCTCTGCAAAAAAAGGGACGAAGTGCAGACGCGCGCGTCGTCGCGCGCGTATGCCGAAAACCTTCAAAACCCAGCGGTTTCGGAAGGATTTCAAAATCGTGTGTCCAACAACCTACAAAAACACAAGGTTTCGCAACACGGATTTTGAACAAAAGCGTGCGCGCGCGCTCTTGCGTCGTCGTCGTCGTCGTCGCCGTCCTCCCTCCTCCCGCGTCGTCGTCGTCGTCATCGCCTACGTCGTCCTCTGTCTTTCCTCGTGTTCGTCGTCGTCGTCCTCTTTGGCGTCGTGGTCGTTTCCGTCGTCGTTGTTGCCGTGGTCGTCCTTTCTCCTCCTCCCTCGTCGTCGTCGTCGTCCGTCGTCGGCGTCTCGTCGTCGTCCCTCCTATTTCGTCGCCGTCGTCGTCGTCGCCGTTGTCGTCGTCGTCTTCCCTCCTCCCTCGTCGTTGTCGTCGTCGGCGCCGCCGTCCTTCCTGCTTCTTCGTCGTTCGCGTCGTCGCCGTCCTCCCTCCTCCCTCGTCGTTGTCGTCATTGTCGTCGTTGTCGCCGTCGTCGTCCTTCCTCCTCCCTCGTCGTCGCCTTCGTTGGCGACGTCGTCGTCGTCGTCGTCGTCGTCGTCGGCGTCGGCGTCGTCGTCGTCGTCGTCGGCGTGGTTGACGTCGTCGTCGTCGCCGTCGTCGTCGGTGTCGTCGTTGTCGTCGTCGAAGTCGTTGGAGACGTCGTCGGTGTCGTCGTAGTCGGTGTCGGCGGCGCCGTCGTCGTCGTTGTGGCTGTCGTCGTCGGCGTCGGTGTCGTGGCCAAGTGTCATGTGGTACGTACAGTCACGGTCTTGTCTTGAGAGGTCTTGCGACCAAGTTGCGGATGGGAGGGTGGGATGTTTGCACGAGCAATGGAGAGGACAGCTTCAAGACGGTCAAAGATTAATTGCACCACATCGACTGTACCGCGTAGATTGCAAGAACCTCCTGTTTGGGGTCCGCGCTGGCGAACATCCACTACGAACGGTCTCGGTGTTTCAAAGTAGCGCTCCCGCTGCAACGTGGGACTCACTTCAGGATCGGCACTTTGCTCCCGTCGTTCAGACTGGCGCTGCCGCCCCAGCACAGGCCATGTATCTGGATCCGAATATTTCTTGACGTCGCCCAGCTACTTTCCCCCCCTTCCCTGGCCATCCTGCTCCTCCCGCTCTTTCCGCTCCAGCGTCAGCTGCTGCTGCTGGTCCTCCTCGTCCTCCTGATTCCTCATTATCTTCTTCTGCCTGCTCATCACCCAGCTCATCCGCCACCTCCTTCTTCAATGTAGGCAGTTCCCCTGTCCGACTTCGCAGAACACGATGGTGTCCTTTGGGGGGTCCAGGTCTGCTATGACACCCGCCAGCGGGTAAAGAAAACATCAGCGCACTGTGATGGGATGGGTGGGTGGGGTAGGATGGCAGATATGGTGCGAGCGCACCTATATTACGCCCTTCCCCTCCCCCCCGTCCTCTGCCTCACCCCCTCCCGACCCATGCCCCTGCCCTTCTTCCTCCTCCTCCTCCTTCTTCTCCTCCCATCCCCCTCCTCATCCTCCTCCACCTCCTCCTCCTCCTGTTCCTCCTCCTCCTCCTCCTGCCCATCCTTCCCCACCCCCCTCCCCCTCCCCCTGCCTCCCCCTCCTCCTCACCCTCCTCCTCCTCCTCCTCCTTCTCCTCCTCGTCCTCTTCGTCCTCCTCTTCCTCCTCCTCCTCCTCCTCCTCCTCCTCACCCTCTTCCTCCTTCTCCTCCTCGTGCCCATCGCCATCCCCACCCGTCCATCTGGAGGAGGATTCCCCCGTGAAGGCCCGTATCCAGCGTGTGCAGCTGCATGCGGACCCACTGGGCGCCCACCCGCGGCGGCACCCGCTTCAGATCCTCGCGCCGCACGACGACGCCGCCGTCGGGCAGCGGCTCCTGCGATGGCGTTCTGCGGTCGGCACGGGGCCACACGCCACACCCGAAGGGAGGCGCTCGATAGGGGACGGAAAGGGGAGGAAGAGGAAACGGATACTAGCACAGAACAGTGATCTCTGGGGTGTCTGAAGCCCCTCCCTCAAAATCATCCCCGCAAAGCACTCCAATAGCAGCAAAGGTGCAGAGGCGGGTCGAGGACTAGGAGGCCGGCCAGTGAAACCGTGCACTCCCATGATTTAGTCATATGGATGTCCCAAGACAGATGCAGCTGGGACAAGGGTGAGAGCACGGCCATGTACACCCCAGTGTATGTTTCACAAGGGGTCGTGGCCGTCCAGACCAGACACGTAGCTGGCATATGAGGGGCGAAAACACGAGTCCTAAATCAGTGGTGGGGAAGTCTCGAGCGAAACCGCCGTCCAGGGACGGTGTCCTGGGTTGGGCTCCCCGGTTCCCCTGTGGGTTTTCTGTGTGGTGCTTGCTCACCTCCACTCGAACCCTCGATCATGAGACGCTACGAAACAAAATGGGAAGCACTGCAAACCTGAGTGGCGGACTGACCGCATCTATTCGCCTGCGGGCCGCAGCACGCCCAAGCTGGCGGATTCAAGCTGAAGGGGAGCTCGGGACGAAAAAGAGGAGGAAGAGAAGGAGAGGAGGAGGAGGAAGAGGAGGAGGAGTGCGGGTACCCTGGGGGTAGAAAGAGGAGGAGGAGGAGGAGGAGGAGGAGGAGGAGGAGGAGGAGGAGGAGGAGGAGGAGGAGGAGGAGGAGGAGGAGGAAGAACAAGAGGATAAGGATGCGAGAGGAGGCGAGGGGGCATGCGGAGGCGGAGGAATGGGAGGGGCGAGTGTAAGGAGGGGGCAGGATGGAATAGTGACGAGGAGCCAGGTGAAGCGAAGGAAGAGGAGGGATAATCAGGCGGAAGAAGGGGACGGAGGATGAAGATGAGGAGGGCCACGGAGGAGTAGAAGGCGTGGCCCTCGTCTGCCCGCGACCATGTCGACACCCCACGCCGCCGACCAGTCGGCCGCTCCTGCGAGCGCAGCAGCCAGTCACTGGAGCCCGCCTGCTTCGCGAGCGCCACGTAGGACGGCGCGCGCTCGGAGGAGCCCCAGATGTCGTCGAACTCCTAAGAGGGAGGGAGAGGCATGGGGGGACAGAGAAAGGGGAGGGAGGGACCCCCACCTCCACCCGCGACGGCCCACGACCAGGCCCAGCGGCGGGGCTGAGCTGTCTAGGCCCACATATCCAGAGGCTCGAGGATATCGAGTCGTCCCCCGTATCCTCTCGGTCGTGGAAAAATGCGACGGGAGGTTTCTGGCTGTTTTCAGCCTCTAGGGGCCCTCACTGGGCTTCGGGACCGTCTGAAAAAAAAGCTACATGACATGAAAAACTGGTCCTGGGGAATGGGTCCAGGCCTCTGGGGTCAACGTTGTGAACCATTACAACGGAAGACCCAACCATATGCAACTCTAGGCACCGTCGCTGTATGCACCGCCTTCGGTGGAGCTCCCTATGGGGCCACCAAGCGTGTGAGGTGTGTTTGTGTGTGCCAAAATGGGCGCGGTGGGCGCATGCGAGCGCCGGCACTTGGGCCTTCGGTTGGGGCTCACTATGTGGCCACGAAACATGTGACGGGTGTGCCAAAATGGGCGCGGTGGGAGCATGCGAGCGCTGGCATTTGGGTCTTCGGAGTATCTCCGGCTGGGGCCACGAAGCGTGTGAGAGGGGGTGCCAAAATGGGCACGGTGGGAGCCTGCGAGCGCTGGCATTTGGGCTTCGGTGGAGCTCCCTACAGGACCATGAAACGTGTGAGGGGGTTGCCACAATGGGCGCGGTGGGCGCATGCGAGCGCTGGCATGAGCCTCGGTCGAGCTCCCTATGGGACCACGAAGCGTGTGACGGGTGTGCCAAAATGGGCGCGGTGGGCGCATGCGAGCGATGGCATTTGGGTCTTCGGAGTATCTCCAGCTGGGACCACGAAACGTGTGAGAAGTTACCAAAATGGACGCGGCGGGGTGGGCGCATGCGAGGGCGCGCATGCGAGCGCTTGCACTTGGACCTTCGGTGGAGCTCCCTACAATACGGGGTCACGGAATGTGCGAGGGGCGTACCAACGTGAGCGCGGTGGGCGTATGCGAGCGCTGGCACTTGGGCCTTCGGTTGGGGCTCCCCATTGGGCCACGAAACGTGTGAGGGGTGCCAAAATGGGCGCGGTGGGCGCATGCGAGCGCTGGCATTTGGGCCTTCAGCGGATCTCCGCATGGGGCCACGAAACGTTTGAAGGGTGTGCTGGAATGTGTGCGGGGCGCGCATGCGAGCGCTAGATATTGAGCCTTCGGTGGAGCTCCCTGAGGGCCAGGAAACGTGTGAGGGGGCGTACCAAAAATGGGTGCGGTGGGCGCATGCGGGCGCTAGAATTCGAACTTTCCTTGGGTGGAGCTCCCCATGGGGCCACGAAACGTTGTGAAATGGCGTGCCAAAATGGGTGCGGTGGGAGCATGCGAGCGCTGGCGTTTGGGCTTTCCTTCGGTGGAGCTCCCCATAGGGCCACGAAACGTGTGAGAGGTGTGCCAAAATGGGTGCGGTGGGGCGTGCCAGAATGAGAGCGGTGGGCGCACGAAACGTGTGAGGGGCATACCAACGTGATCGCGGTGGGCGCATGCGAGCGCTGGCACTTGGGCCTTCGGGGGAGCTCCCTACGGGGCCGCGGAACGTGCGAGGGGCCAAAATGGGTGCGGTGGGAGCATGCGAGCGCTGGCATTTGGGTATTCGGTGGGGCTCCGTGTGTGCTGGCCACGAAGCGTGTGAGGTGTGTGTGTGTGTGTGTGTGCTAAAATGGGCGCAGTGGGCGCATGCGAGCGCTGGCATTTGGGCCTTCGGTGGGGCTCCCTACGGGGCCACGGAACGTGTGAGGGGCGTGCCAGAATGGGCGCGGTGGGCGCATGCGAGCGCTGGCATTTGAGCCTGCGGTGGAGCTTCGTAGAGGCCACGAAATGTATGAGGAGGCGTACCAACATGGGCGCGGTGGGCGCATGCGAGCGCTGGAATGTTGGCCTTCGGTGTAGCTCCCTATGGGACCACGAAGCGTGTGAAGGGTGTGCCAAAGTGAAGGGGGTGACGGGAGGAGGGAGGAAGGGGAGGAAGAGAGGAGAGGAGAGGAGAGGAGAGGAGAGGAGAGGAGAGGAGAGGAGAAGAGAGGAGAGGAGAGGAGAGGAGGTGGGACGCGGGGCGCTGTCTCTTCAAAACGAGGACCCAACACCACAGGATGGATGGAACACGACGTCGGAGTAATGGAGGAGGGGGGGCGAGGCATGAGGAGGGAGGGGGGGGGAGGGAGGGAGGGAGGGAGGGGTGGGTGGGTGGATGGATGGGGGGAGGGAGGAAGGGAGGGAAGGAGGCGGGGAGGGAGGAAGTTAGGAGGACAGAAAATGCAGAGATGAGTGGGAAGGGGGGAGGGAGGAAGGGAGGGAGGGATGGGGGAGTGGGGAGTGTAAGAACCAATTGCGGCCCACTTTCTCATCACTCTTGTCCTCGTCCTGCTCCTCTTCACGCCGATTCCATGGGGCCCGCGTGTGAGGGCCGCACAATCCACAGCAACAAACATTACAGACAAATCCACCAGGTGGGAACCTCCGCCTTAGAGACTCTAGGAAAGAACCCCTGGGCCATCCTCTTGATGGCTCTCCTGCCGTGGGCTCCTGGGGCCTTACAAGGGAGAAGAAAACCTTTCAACTGCCTGGCACTGTGGGCACCACACTTGACGCAGGCGACCCCAATGCGTGAGGCTTCTCGCAAGGCCTCCTCGAACAAACCTGTGATGAGCCTCGCCTCGCTCCTGCAACCGACGGTTGGCATCCACCGCGCGACTCTCGATCGACCCCCCGCAGATCGGCGCGCCGGGGGGCCGCAATGCGGCAGCAGGAGCACTGGGAGCGGCTCACAGGGCCAACATGAATGTGCCCGAACTGAAGATAGAAGATAGACAGCCTGCAACTCAGGCGGCGCTCGTGCGACACGCACGCGCTTGCTCATGTGTGCCGTGTCGCGCGCATTCACATACTCAGCCACGACAGCGGCTCAGTGCGCGACGTGCTCAGCAAACTGCTCTGACCTCGCCAACAAATCACGCCCCAGAGCCAGTATTCGAGAGACACGGCCAGCAAACTTGGCCCAGATGTCGACATGCAAATTGCAGAACTGTCCTTCCTGCTGATGACGCCTTGCTGAACACGTGCGATCGCACAGTGCACAATGACTTTGCGCATGCTCAGATTCGTCCCCCTCGGGCCCCCAAAGTCCTCGATGGGGGCGCCAATGCATAAGCCCACGCCGACTTGTGGGAGGCGGTCCATCTGGGGCCTCTGTCAGTGACCCCAAGGAACACCAAATCCGAGTCAGTGGAAGGAGGTAGGTAGTAGGACCGCAACTCCAAGCAAGCGGACTACAGCGGCGAGCTCGGCCCCATCAGTGCCAAGAGCTTACGCCGAGCACGCACAAGAGACAACGTCCTGCACTCCGAGCGGCCCAATCGGTTCCAGCGTGATAATGGCCCACGCAGTGGCCGTGTACTCCTCGCCCCGTTGGGCTTCAAAATCAAGCGCGGAACGGTCCAGAAGGCTTCTCGAGCAGTGGGGATTCTTAAGCCCGAGTGCTGCCGGCAAACAACCACGTCCTGGGCAGGGGGCCCCCGGTCAACCCGAGGGCGAAGATGCCGCAAGGCCCGCTCCAGGAAACGCCAGACCTCAGGCAGCGCACGGGCCTGGACAAGCATGCCAAACGCGGCAGAACAGGGCGGCCCCCAGCCGGTGAGCACTCGAAATGGCGGTGCAGCAGCGTACCAGGCCCTTCGCAGACCTCGCGAGCATATCAGCGACGGCGGCGCCTTGGAGCGGTCGGCGTCTAGCTGCCCAGCAAGCACCTCTGGGGCCTCGAAGCCGAGCAGGAAGCCGTCCCTGCTGACGGCGCGCTGCTGCGCCGCCGGCGCTGCGTCGAGGATAACCTGGAAGGCCTGCCGGGATCGGAGGATTGCAATTCGAGGGTCGAGGTTCGAAGTTCGAAGATCGAAAGTCACAAGAGGAGAATATACCGACATTGCTACCGTTCCCTCGTCGCCACGGTTGGACTCGCCTCTGGATGATGGTCGGAACGGAACCCGGGAGAGGTTCGAGGATCGAGGTTCGAAGGACTAGAGGCCTCCCAAACGGGGTCCGAGTAGACGGGGTCGGAGGGTCGCGCCGCATCCCCAATGCATCGCCGATACATAAGCGATGTATCGGCGACGTCGGCGGTGCGACAATGTCCCAGCGACAGTACTACTATGAGGATCATGTTGAAGCTTACACCTTACCCAAATCTGAATACAAGTCACAAGCCAACTGTCCCTAGATCAGTCAAACATCATCCCATCGGCCGACGTACCTCGTGAATCAACCTACCACATGCTGCTGAACAGCGACGAAAATAATCCGTTGCTGTTTGTGGTAGCGTTGGGGCGAGTTGCCGAACGCGTCACAAGCCCGAGTCGTAATAAGCACACCGTAAAGGGTTTAGAGTTCGGGGTTCAGGACTCAACCAATTGAACAAGACGTGCAATCTTAACAATCATGTTTCCTTTACTCCAGATGCCAATGGCACACGCGAGCCATAGTCCCGCCTATCTCTACTCGATGAGACTGTAACGGCTAGTCATGGCTAGTCATGGCTAGTCATGGCGACCGGCGTAACATACAACATCTCACCCATGAGCTGACATGGAAGGGACAATGCAAGAACGGTAACACGTTAGGAGCACACGTGTTGGCTGAGGAGTCGGAGCGAGGACGGGCAGGAGCAGGAGAAGGATGAGGACGAAGGCCAGAACGAAGAGGTGACACTCTCATGTGTCCGCTTCCCCTCTTACGATCATTCGCATTATGAGGTATCTCTCTCTCTCTGTCTCGTTCGATATCTCTCTTTCTTTCTTGTTGTGGATTCCTCCCCCTTCATCCTTTTGCTCCTCCCCCCTCCCCTCCACCACCCCCTCCTCCCCTGGACGGCCCCGGGGTCCAGGGTTTCCGCGAGGGGCAAGGCCCCCGCCGCGCTCGGCTGCTTGCCAAGATTCCGCAGCCTCCGCTGCACTTTGAAGCGCGCTGTCCGCAGTGCCCACATCCACGCAGAAACACCTCCCCTTCTGCCGCTTCGTCTCTCGTCGTCCACACTCCTGGTCACCCTCCCTCGCCGAGGCCCCCTTTCACGTCACGCTTTGATCCGGTCCAGCGAGCAGAATCTGCAAGGGGATGAGCTTGTGGAAGGGCCAGGCCGAGGATGAGGACGCGCGTGGCGCATGAGGATCATGAGAAGGATGACCACGAAGAGGGATGATGATGATGCTGATGATGATGATGATGATGATGATGCTGATGCTGATGATGATGCTGATGATGATGCTGATGCTGATGCTGATGATGAGGAGGAATAATGCCACGCTCAAGTCAGAGAAGCCCCTCCCTCCCCTCGAGGAGCCTGCTGGGGGGTCAACTCGTCCTGCTCCCAGGGCAGCTTGATCTCGTCGATGACCTCGAGAACGGGGGGGAGGCTCCGCACGGCGAGGCGCGAGCGTGCGCGTTCGCGTGCTACCGCACCGCCCCGTCGAGCTTGACTGGAGAAGACGCGTGCGAGGAACGGCGCTACTGCACCGTACCACGTCTGGGCTCCCTTTCGATGGCTTGCTTTAGGTCGGGCATGTCCTCCTACAGGGGGATCTTCGACGAACAATACATTAGCCTGGCGAAAGACCCAACCAAATGCAGTTGTGGGTACTGCCGTTGTATGCGCCGCATTTGGTGTAGCTCCCTTTGGGGCCACGAGGCATGTGAAGGGTGTGCCAAAATGAATGCGGTGGGCGCATGCGAGCGCTGGCATCTGGGCCTTCGGTGGAGTTCTCTATGGGGCGAAAAACTGTGTGAGAGGTGTGCCAAAATGGGTGCGGTGGGCGCATGTGGGCGCACGCGGGCGCTGGCATCTGGGCCTTCGGTGGGGCTCCCTTTGGGGCCACGAAGGGTGTGAGGGGCGTGCCAAAATGGGCGAGGTGGGCGCATGCGAGCGCTGGCATCTGGGCCTTCGGCGGGGCTCCCTATGGGGCCAAGAAGCAATTTATGTGTGTCCCAAAATTGGCGCGGTGGGCGCGTGCGCGCGCTGGCATGTGGGCCTCCGGTGGAGCTCCATATGGGGCCACAAAACGTGTGAGGGGAGTGCTAAAATGGGTGCGGTGGGCACATGCGAGCTCTGGCATCTGGGCCCAAGGTGGAGCTCCCCACGGGACCACGAAGCGTGTGATGTGTGTGTGTGCCAAAGTGAGGGAGGAGAGGAGGAGGGGGAGGATGGGAGGAGGGAGGAGGGCAGCGTGAGCGAGGACGCGGGGCGCTGTCTTGTCAAAACGAGGACCCAACACCACAAGATGGTCGGGACAGATAGTCAGCACGTGCTCGAACACCGTGAAACAACTGCCCCAACTGGCCCCCAGACCATCTTTTGAGACCATTCTTGAGCATTCCGTCTATGAGGGCTGTGTCCGCCTCAAGGCTTGCTCCTCCGGCTCCCCCCCACACACACACCTCCCACACACGCCGGGCTCGGTGCCCGAGGCCGCCTGCGCTCCCCTCTCCCGCCGCCCCCCGGCGGTCGGGCTACATCTCCCGCTTCCTCCCCCGCGGCCGCCCTCTTCTTTTCCGCGAGGGGCAACGATAGGGGGGATGCGCATAGGGGGGGATGCATCGACCTGCAATCGGCTATACGTCGCCGATAGATCGGCGATGGGCCTCCGATAGTGAATCCGCACCTTCCTGGGCAGGCTGGGGCTATCGGGCCCCTATCGGCGATCAGAGGGCGATTGGGGGTCGATGCATCCCCCCCGATGCCCATCCCCCCCTATCGTTGCCCCTGACTCTCTTCCACCTGTCCCCGCGCTTCGCGCCCGGCGCGGCCCGCTGGCAACGACACACGCGCCGACGACTGCTGGCGCTGCCGAGGGACAAACTGTTGGGCTCCCTTCGGGCCCCGCTCCAACGTTGGTACGGTGCGGAGTCTTGTTCGGCCCTCGGGGCCGAAAAGCTGTGGACCGTACCATTCCCGGATGAAGGGCCGACGGCACCTCGGGAAACGCCAGCGCGGTGTGTACGGTGCACAGACGTCGTCCGTGGACTTCCGATGGCCACACTGCCCCAAGAGTGTGGAGGACGTCGGGCGCGAGACACAGGACACGCAGGCACCCGCACTTTGGAAGGGCCGACCTGCTGCTCAGACTCGACTGTGCTGGCGGCCCCAGACCCTGCCGGACCCTCCACCCCACCCCTTCCCACTTAGAACTGTGCCAGCAATGCTCCCCAAACATGCGCAACAAATACGGCGGACATTTCCACCCCAAGAAGATCGGGTGGGTACTTCCGCGAACGCATGGTGGAAACAGCGACGGCAAAGTAGGGCAGACATTTACTTCGAAGGAGCCTGAAAAATAGGGCGGAGGTTTCCGCCCTACTTGCGAAAGCACCCAGGAGGAGGAGGAGGAGGAGGAGGAGGGGGAGGAGGGGGTGGGGAGGAGGGACAAGGAGGGGGGGGGAGAGAAAGAGCACCGGGGCCAGCCCAAACCCAGACGCCTCTTGAGAGATCAGGGTGGCGGGCCGCCGTGATTTTCGGTCCCCCACGGGCGGCTGTCTGCGAGCCTTCCCACCCGCTCCCTGAGCGACCGCATGCAGCGGGTCACCACAGCGCCGCGCGGCGGCTGCTTCGGTGCGGACCGCTCGGAGGAGGCGGGCTGAAGCGTGAACCTTGAAGTGGAGTTGGGTCTGGCGTGGACAGGGTGCTGGCGCAAACCTCAACGCGCACCTTTCTCCCGATTCAATTTTGGTTGGCATTGCCAGCGGGGTGCAGGAGTTCGGTCAGTCGACAGATCGACACGTCGCGGCGCAGCCCGCCTATGTTAAATTGGGGGCGCGGGGGGATGCTCACAATCATCAGCATCAGAGGTGCAGGACTCGGTCCAGGAATAATCAGGAATAAGAAGCGAAGGACGGAGGGGCTTTCCTGGCCACGACCTGGGCCTAAAGAACGGCTCGATCCAACTCCAACATACGGTAACTCCACTTGGGCTGGATCCAGGTCTAACCACGAAAGCCAGAGCCCCTCCTGAGCCCCAGGTGGTCCTTATCTCAGCGTCTTTACTGCAGGCGGCTGAAAGAGGAGGCATACCAATCCTTGAAGTGGCAAGGCTATCTGACTATGTTGGAGCCTGCGAAACCAAAAACAATTACCTTCAGAAGAAGGCCTGTCTGGAAACATTGCTAGCGCTCGTTCTGCAAGCAATTCGACTCGGCATCGTGCTGCAGAACTGGATCGTCGTCGCTTTTGTCAGGGGGAACGAGAACGGGGGCTGGCTCAGGGGGTAAAACATCGGCCTGGAATCGGCGATACACTGCCGATAGATCGGCGATAGGCCCCGATGGCGAATCCACAAGTTCCTGGGCTGGGTTGGCTATCGGACCACTGTCGGCGATGGATGGGCGATTGGTGTCGACGCATCCCCCCTCGCCCCCCATTCCCCCATGACGTTGCCCATGCCCAGAGCTCCGACGTAGTGTTTTTTTCGCAATGTCGAGCTTTGTGGCCATTTTCGACCTGCGGTGAGGGCCTGGAGGCCGAAAGCGGCCAAAAACTCACGTAGTATTTTTTCACGAAAGGGGGTGGGGGTGATCCGACGACTCGACATCCTCGAGCCCCTGGAGGTGTGGGCCCAGAGCAGCTCAACCCCTGGCAGGGCCGGGCCGCAGGCCATCGTGATCCCTTCGTGGCGGAGATCGACCTCGCCCCAGGAAGGGCGTGGAGGTCCCTAGAAGCCTCCTGAGGCCCAACAGTGCGGACACACTCCCCTCCTCGGTCCTCGATCCTCCCCGCCCTCCTCGAGTCTTTGCATGTGTGCTGTGGGCCAGGATCAGCTCGGCCCCTGCGGCCTGGCCTGGCCATGGCAGGGGGCCCCCTGGTTTCTGGCACATGACTTGGGCCTTTGGCGGGCCGTTCGGGGCGATCCCAGCACCCCGGGACGCTCTCGGCGAGGCGAAGCTGCTGGAAAGCGCCCCGAGGCTGGAAAACCGCTGAGGACCGACGAAGTCGCGATCGACCCCCGCGCGATCGACTCCCCCACGCTAGCACGGAACGTACCGTGTGGGCCGGGAGCAGCTCTCGGCGGCGAGCCCAGGGGGAAGTCAGAGGGGGCGGGCCTTCCCAGAAGGCTCGGACGAGAAGTCTTCTAAGCTTCTCCGAAGACAGAGGTGGCTTCTCGGAAGGCGCGAGGGCTTCTGAGAGGCCCCGCCGCCTTCAGAGAAGGCCTGCCCCCCCTCTCACTTCCCCCCGTGCGCGCCGCCGATCCCGCCCCCCTTCCTCCGCCTCCTGTCCGAGAACGTGCGGGGTCGCTCTCGGGGGCCTGTCGCCGATCTGCCGCCGATTCCGGCTCGGTGCTTCCCCCTGTGAGCCGGGCCCCCTCTGACGTTCCCCCTCGAGCAGCAGGCGCAAGAAAACGACGAGGGCGAGGGCGAGGACGAGCCTTCCCTCCCGTCGAGGGCGTCCAAGAGGGGGGAGTCCAAGAGGGGGGTTCGCAAATCACGGCCCGAGGCAGGTGCGCGGCCCAGGGGGGGGGTACGAGACACAACGGACGAAGAAGAGAGGGCCATGGGATCTGGGAGATATCACGGACGGCTCCCTCCACGATCTCCCCCCCCCTTAGCCATCACCTCCCTCTTGGCCGCCCCCACCCCGGGCCCGCCGCCGAAGTTCAGCCCCCCGCAGCCAGGCCTGGCCGTGGGCCCGCGTCACCTGCAGCTCGGGCCCGACGCGGACGGCGCACGGCGTCACCAGGGAGTGCAGCGACAGGCAGGAGGGCAGCAGGAGCCCAGCGACCAGCGAGGGGGGGAGCCCAGGAGGAAGGGGGCAGGGAGGAGGAGGAGGAGGAGGAGGAGGAGGAGGAGGAGGAGGAGGAGGAGGAGGAGGAGGAGTTCGAGTAGCTTGAACGAGAAAAGGAGGAGAAGGATGAGGATGAAGAGGAGGAGGAAGAGGATGCTTGAGGTGGTATGGCTTAAAGGGCGCCTTGACCCCACTGGTGGGACCAGAGGTCTGGTGTACCACCTTGCTGTGCCACCCAAGGACAGGACATGTCCTGCCTCGGGGCAGTGCAACCAGGGGGATCATATTAGAAGACCCCTTTAGGCTCAAGCCCGACTGTGGAGAGGGCTGAGGAGAATTCCCTCGGTGTTCCTGTCGCTCTCTCGCTTGCCGATCGGTGTGAACACACACGATCTGCTCAGTGCTTCTGAGCACATGTCACTGCACAGCCTCTCTATAACAGGCCTATACTCACGATCCGAAAGCTCCAGGACGCTCAACATCGTATTATGGTGTGCCACTCGAGAACGGGGTAACTACACAGAGAAAACCAAAGGCCATGCCCTGTCCTGGCACCATGTCTTGCACCCGTCCAAGGACCATGTCCTGCCTCGAAAGCGACGGCTCAGCTTGGTCATCTTGCCGAATGGGTCTGTGCAGCTAGGAGGATGAAACACGGATGCCCTTTTAGGTTCAGTCCGGACCGTGGGAAAGACAGAACAGATCCCCACGGGCTTGCAGGAGGAGTGGGAGGCGTATAAGCGAGGATGGGGCACAATGGCGGGAGAGGAAGGGAGAGGAGGAGGAAGAGGAGGAGGAGGAGGAGGAGGGGGAGGAGGAGGCGAAGCGTAACCGAGGGGTTCGTCGTCGTGCCGCACTACTCTCTAACGCCTGCCTGCCTGTCCTCCATCGCGCTGTGTCCCTCAGCCACTTGGCCATGGGCGCTGCGGCGCGGCAAAGCGACGTTTAAAGAGGAGGACGGAGGCCAATGGTGCACATTATACAGCGCATTCGAAATCCTGTTATGCCTGATCACCTGCACATCTGATGGATGCAGAGTCTGATCGCCAGTGCACGGGAGCACACTAGGCAGCACATACGTGTGAGAGGGGTGGCTAACCGCAGTCGGAGAGGAAGGGCAAACAGGGGGAAAGACGGGGGGAGAACAGGGCAGAGGGAAACTCTGACCTACTGTCTGGGACAATCGTGCGAATGGCCGGCAGGTCACGAGGCATCTCATATTCAACCCATTGGAACATTGTGGGCTGATCAGCTGCGCTCGACGAAACATCACATAAGGCGGGAGGGCCAGAAGAGGATAGCTGTTAGTCACTATCAAAGAGCCTACGCACAACATGGGCATTATTTTCCGCACAGTGCGCCACATCAGGGGGTCTCGACGGAGGTGTGGAACCCGCTCCTGATGCCGATCCTGGGGTACCACAGGGCCTCGAACTCCTCGGAGTAGGACTGGTAGTGGTAGCATTCCCATCAACCTGCGTCGTGGCCGCTACACCAATGTCCTCGGGAGCGGACAGAGAGCAGCTATCTTCAGACAGGTCGTCGGAGGTACTTGATGAGCTCTGGGATGAGGAAGATGTCGTGCGTGTCTCCTCTGATACTTGGCGTGCTCGCAGGACGTGATGGTGGAGAGCTGCCCTCGCGATCCACTTCAGCTGCTTGCCGCGCAGCGGGAGACGTACTGCCAGTCGAGTGGCTTCCACTAGCTTTGCCGCCTCTGGGTATGATGGAGGGGAGCCGAACTTGTGGGGGACCAATCGGTAGTGATGGTACATCGCGATCAGGAATGCAAGCGAGCCCTCAGGTAGAAGTCCCAGCCGACCTTGAACTGAGCATGGCAGGTCAGAGCGCAGAGCCAGCGCTGCAAAATGGCGCAGCCGTGGGCAGTCGCAAATATAGTGCGCGATGCGGTCCGAAGCCCCGCTGCATCCGTAGATGCACCCTGCCTCACGTTGCATTCGTGTATTAGTGATCCACGCTCCTGTCCATGATTTGAGGGCAACACTGATCCATGCCGTTGGTGCACCATTTAAGATGTCTGCAAAGATGTTCATGTCATTGACGTAGAAGCCAAAATTCCTCTTCACTCTCCTCTGGATAAGGTCCAAGAGAGATGGTGGGAAGGTGGACCGTTGGATGATAGCCATGAACACCGCCTGCCACTTAATCTTCGGGGGAGAGCGACCAAGTGAAGCAACTTCGAGCTGGCGGGGGGTGGCACGCAGGGGAGCGGGAAGAGCCGCATCACCAAATAGTCGTATGATGGAGCGGGCGATATGCCCCGTATTTGCCAGCCAAGTCTCAACTGCCAATCGCCCACCATTGCGTAGATGAGGATCCCGAGGGAAGCCACGACTCGCATCCTCCAGAAATGACACAAATGGAGGGGCCTGCCAGAAGGGCGGAGCTTTTTGAGGTAGGTCCCACCACGCGGCGAATCCTTGTGTGATCAGCGTATCCACCAGGTCGGCCATGACTGTCTTCCACGATGGGCAAGTAATAACTGCGGTCCGCAGCCTGGCTGCAGCTGCAGCCGCATAAATTGACGGGAAGCGTGGGCCACCGATCGCGTGAAGGTTGAAGCAGTCTGCCGTCCGCAGCATAGAGCTTGGAGCATGCAAGATACGAGCGATACAGCGGCGTTGACATTGTCCATTCTTCCAAGGCAGAGGGACGAGTTGCGCCACATAGCTGAGCACGGGTACTGCACGTTCGCGATAAGAGGGAGGCCATCACTGACACCGGTGCGCCAGACGAGCTGATGTCGACAGCTCGAGCGTGGTGCTTGGTCAGAGGTTCATGCCATTGGTCTGCCACACTCGCACCAGGGCCGATACGAAAGCCGAGATAAGTGCATACATTCACAATGGCGAAGGCCTTCCAGGCAGGGTTGAGGCCAGTCAGCACAGAGCGGAGCGCCATCGTCGTATCTTCACTAGGCTGATTGGCGAGCGGGATGGCAGCGCACTTCCGATGCTTCAAGAAGAGGTTCGCTAGCTCCTCCGCCAGGCGAAAGATTCGAGCCAATCTATGATACGCACGGTTCAGAAAGATAACCACCCCCAAGTCGTCGGCACACGCCCGCGGGATCCCCAAGGTCGGAGAAGGGCGGGAGAGGCTTGCCTCCATGTCAAGCAGAAATGGGTTCGCTGCCGCAACATAGAGCGTGCCACTAAGCGGGCACCCTTGCAGGACCCCCGAACGCATACAATACATATAGTGCAGCTCTTCACCACCAAAGTAGCACATGGTGCGGGCATATAAGCTCTCAAGCGCCTTCTTCAACGGTTGTGGGAGACGAAGCTGGGCAATGCATTGAAATAACCAGGGCTGGCTGACACTGGGGAAGGCTTGCGCGAAGTCGAACGTAAGCAGAGCAGGGCACTCTGTGGGGTGAAGATGAGCAAGAATGCTCGCCTTTCGTGCTTCTGCGTCCAACATGAGTACATTGTTGAAGGAATTGCGGCCTTTGATGAAGCCGTTCTGGCATCTTGCGCCCACGGACGTGGCAACCGGATGAAGGCAGCGATTGAGAACACCACATATCACCTTGTTGCATGTGTTTTTGAGGCCTAGAGGGCGGGTCTCGCTAGGGTCACGTCGAACCCCACCAAAATCAGGCTCATCTTGGAGGGCAATGGGGTCCTTGAGGGGCTTCGGGAGGAACGCGGAGAGCAGCGCCGTGAAGTCGCTGCCCATGGGGTGGCCCTGCAGGAGCCAGTTGAGGACCTCAGTCAGCGCCACGGGGCCCGCTCCGATGCTCCACGGAAAATAGTGTAGCCCATCAGGGCCAGGTGCAGCCCAATTCGCTTGCCCAAGAAATCGCCGTACGTCCGCAACCACAGGGGGCCTGATATCGGTGAAGTCGGTTGAAGTGGCGAACTTGGTCAGATAAGGAGCGGCCTTGTGGGGGACGGATTTAGTGGTCTCGAATACTGGGGCCCAGCGGAGAGCAAGAGGGAGAGCCCTGGAGAGACAACGTGCTCATGAACCGCCTGATCAAGAGCTCGAGAGACCCCAAGACGCACCGAACGGCCTAGAGTCCCAGCACAGTCTTCCTGGTTCAGCTCCTCCTCCTTCTCAGTGATGATACCTAGCAAAAACTTGCGACGGGACAGCGGGTTCCAAAGTTGGGCGCGGCGAGCAAGGGCACGCGCCTGACCGAGAAGACGAGACTTACGATCAGAACCATGCGCGCGGTCGGCAGCACGAAGCATGTCGCTGCGTCTACGACTCTGTTCTTGATGTTGAATGTTTGAGTGAAACTTCATAAAGGCCTCAAGGTCTAGGAGGCACGGAATTCCCGATGAGATGTCGAGCGTATCTTTCACCCACGAATGTCGAGCACAGAGGACCAAAGCAAGCATCAAGTCAGCACGCCACACACACCTCGCAATAGACCTCGACATCATCGCTCGCGACGCGACAGAACGACGGTCCGAATATAGAATCGCATCCCGAGTGATGCGCCCCGCAGCTTGTCGGCTTCGAGTGGCCACGCGAAGCATGGTTGGCGGGTCGAACGCGAGAGACTCTATCTTTGCGGCCTCCTCAAACCACTGTACCGTCTTGGCATATAGAGGTTCAGGGTAAACCCAACGTGGGAGAGGGCGCGAGCAAGAGGAGGTCGGGGAGCGGCTGGAGCACCACGTGACGATGACGGGGACGTGATCAGACAACTGTTGAAGGAACGCTTCTTGGGGTTCCGAGAGGGTTCTGCATAATTGACGTGTCTGGCAGAGAATCCAGGGCGGGGTGGAAGTGAAAAGCCTGTCGATTTTCACTGCGGACTGCGTGCCCTCATCCCAATGAGTGGGCAGCTCCGAGCCCAACTCCGCCAGCATGCGGAAGATGGAGCGCCACAGGGCGTCTCCAGGCTTGGCGGCACGCGAAGTGGCGCGCCTCCGAGATGACGTAGCCGTCGAATGATCGGTTGTGCCGTCGGCGATGTTGAAGTCGCCCACAAGGATGGTGGTGTACATCTGTGGGGCGCTGTGAGCCAGCGCTGCCTGCTTCGCAATCATATCCTTAACCCGGTCGAGGGTCAGCCCAAAATTGTGGACATTCCAATGGAATGCCGTAAACCCAGAGTCACGTTGGGCTATCGTCACGCACATCACTCCCCCAGGTACCACAACTTCGTGTGACATGAGTAACGTGGAAAGATCAGGAGCCAATGTCAGAAGACCACCAGCATACACAGTTGGGCCAGCTGATATCACTGCGTGATGTCGAATGTTGGCACGTTGCAGCACTTCACGAACAGAGGATTCGCCCCCATGAGTTTCTTGAATGGCGACGACAGCGTCAGAGTATGCGATTGCTCGGAGACGAAGGAGCCGCTTTCCCAGTGTAGCCGTTGAGAAATGGACCAGCGCGGAGGCGTTCCACGATGCATAGCGTACCTGGGCGGCTCCGAGGTAAGTGTTACCCACGCCACTCAATCGTCTTCTCCTGGAAAGTGGCCTGCACGATCTGCTGGGCCTTCTCCTTGCTGATTCCGTGGTCGGCCAGCGCAGCATGATTCCAGGCCACTGAGGGAACCCTCATGCCAGGGTGAGGCACAACTTTTGCGAGGGGTTCCCATCGTGCGAGAAGCCGACCGCCGTCACGGTCCATGAACGTGGTGAGCCCCATCTCCTTCTGAAGAGAGTTACGGAGCCGCTTGAGTGCCATCTCCGTGGCGATCTCCTTCCTGTTCTGGTCATTCCCGGTGAACAGGGGGACTCGCTTCGCCGGGAGATCCACGAAGCAGTCCCTCCATTTACCTGTTGCCAGGCGGAGACAAGTGTGAGCTTGCTTCCGTCTAGACTCTCTGGTCGCTAGCATCGGCCCCTGGAGCTCCAGCGTGAACTGCTTGGCCACAGGGTCGCCAACGACGACGACCTCCTGTCCCATGGTGAAGCTGGCCGCCTCCAACCACGGCGTGATAGTCTTGATGACTTCTTCTCGTGGGGCCTCTTCTGAACACCGCACCACCATGATGCTGTAGTCAGGGCAACGGCCCCACTCGGATGATGGCACAGGGCGGTCACGCGGACGCTGTCGGGTCAGATCTAATTATTTTCCAGATGTGCCAGACGTTGTTCAAGAGCCGATGTTTGTGTCTCGACAGCGTCGATGCGAGAGCTCTGCTGAGCTGTAACTTCCCGAAGTCGTGCGATGTGTGCCTCAAACTTCTGCTCGAACGCACTGACCAGCGGGGTGGTGGCCGCTGCGAGAGCGGCAAGAAGTTGTTGTTGCAGTGATGCCATAGCAGCGGCCGTGAAGTCTGCGATTGTCTTTTCCCGCAACTCTCTGAGGGCATCTCCCATAGCTGATGCTGCGGGCCAGGTTGACCTGCTTGAGGTGGCCCAGAGTTTGGCGGGGGTGCAGCCATGAACATAGAAGCCTGTGGCGCTGATGAAGCAGGGGCGGACCAGGGCGCAGGCCATGGCATCGGTTGGCGAGGAGGGCTATCCGCTGGCGTGGCGGTGCCTTCGACCATTCCGAACGTGTGAGTCGGGTCCCCTCCTCGCGCAGCTCCTTCTTGGCTAGGAAACGTTGGTGCCATCTCCAGCGCCTCGAGGTCATGTATTGTGGGTCGGGCGTCATCATGTCGGCCAAGACTTCGAGATCTCTGATCGGGGCGGCTCCTGTCACGAGCACGCTCCCGAGTACGGTCATCAGATACATGATGGTGACGCGGAGAGCGACGATTTGAAGCTGAGCGCGACGAGAGCGAAGAGGAGACATCCCGTCTGGAACGTCGGCTTGGGGTGTCGGCCTCCTTCTTCCCCTTCTTCTTGGACTTGTTTTTGGCCATGAACGCGCTGGACGAGTGATGGTGGCGAAGAAGCTCGGCAGCACGGCCGAGACGAACCAGTACACGAGCCGCAGCCCTGGCGCGGCGGGCACGTCGGTGCCAGGCGGGCGAACGACCTCGCCGCGCCGTATCGCCCGCGCCGCCCGCAGGGGGGCCGCGGGCCGCGCGGCCGCGCCTGGCCCGCCGCCCGCCCGCGCGCGCCGCCCCTGCGGCGCACGGGCTCGGGCAGCAGGCTAGGAGGGGGAGGAGGAGGAGGAGGGGGAGGAGGAGGAGGAGGAGGAAAAGGAGTTGGAGGAGAAGGAGCAGGAGAGGAGGAGGAGGAGGAGGAAGAAGAAAAAGAAGAAGAAGAAGAAGAAGAAGAAGAGGAGGAGGAGGAGGAACCGTAATTTCCCTCAGCCCAGGTGGCGTCTAGGCCCTCACAGCATGGAGTGTTGTGGCCAAGCACTCTGTGCGCGTCGTGTAAACAAGCACGGCGCCAGGCGTGGCGAGCGTGATAACACGCATTTAACAGTAAAACTGGGGCCGTGCGTCGGACGGTTTCTGAAATGGACTGTTCTGGGTTGGCATGCTGCGCAGGTGTCCCAAGGCTAATGCGGGTGAGGGGGTCGGAGGAAAAAGGGCACGATGCAAGGCGAGGACGTGGAGCAGGCGATAGCAAGCGAGATAATGGCCGAGATGGTCTGGACAGCGGTCGCACCCGAGCAGGCAGGCCTTGCACGGGCCGAACGGGAAGCGGTGGCTGGTCCACCACGCTCCTGCAAGTGTTTCGTATGCGGCCCAGCGAATTGCTGGTGCTCTGCGTGCCAGGTGCCTGGAAAGCTCGGTCCAGCGTGCGGAACAATCTTCAGGAATCGCGGGCGCGGGCAGTGCACCATGTGAGCGGCAGGCCAAAGTTTCAGCGAACTTGTCGGGGTAGGGGGAGGCGTGGCGATCCGAGGAGAGCGCTCGTTGTGCCCGTGCACGCCGCTGGTCTCGAGCGGCCGAAGACAGTTCGTCGTCGTCGGCCGCGGACTTGGCCTCTTGCCTGTGCTGCAGAGGAACTTCTTACGGGAAAATCTCCTCGAGGACGTGCCAGACTTCTGCGATGCTGTAGCTCTTCCCAAACACGGGGGAGTCAATGGCCCGCAGGCGGGCCTGGACCGGGTCCGCCAAGGAAATTTCTGGATTGAGGTGGTCCTGAACTTGAACGGGAGCTTGAAAGAGCGGCGGCCGGCCTGGGAGGGTGATCTTGTCAGCCCTCCAGGCATAGGTTAACGACGAAGTGACGAGTGCTGCTGGAGAGGAGGTGTGCGACCACGAGCGACCACTGAGAAGGTCAACGAGGCGCCATGTGGTTGGGGGCGCGCGCAAGATCTTATGCAGTGTCCCGCGCTCGTGCCGTAGTAAAGTGGCAGGAAAACGGGAAACACTGGGTGAGGTAGGAGAGGGCTGTGATCACACACGTATTGCACAGCGTGATCGCCGCCGTCGGTCCTGGGACAGAGAAGGAGAGTTAGACTACCCTTAACCAGTATTTGCCAATTCAACTTCCCATTGGATATGTATGTCTTTCCCTTTGGAGGTGCGGAAGGAAATAAGGCGTCGGGTGAAAGACTGGACAGAGGGAAAGGAAGCCTCCCATACCAGAACGATCACCGTCTTCTGGATCTGAAGCTCGAGTCCTGCGAGAGCCAGGAGGAGAAGGAGGAGGAGGAGGAGAAGGACAACGAGTTGTTGTTAACTCTTCAGCATCAAAGGAAAAAATCACGACTGATAAGTCCAATGCCAACAACAACCAAACCAGCAATGTTCTGCCGGGTGGCTGGGACAAGAGAATGAGAGGAGGAGGAGGAGGAGGAGGAGGAGGAGGAAGAGGAGGAGGAGGAGGAAGAGGCGGTGGCGGAGGAGGAGGATGAGGAGGATGATGATGATGAGGAGGAGGAGGAGGAGGAGGAGGAGGAGGAGGAGGAGGAGAGGACGACAGCACCCCCACGGGCGGCGCTCAGGCGCGGCGCCAGGCAACGCGCCATGTCGGCAGCGGGCCGTCGGAAGGCCCTTAAGGAGCAAACCCCAAAACCTTTGAAACACCTAACGGCAATCAATCATGTTGGCCTCTTCGGGCCTTCCTGGAGGACGTCTTGGAGGCCTCTTGGGCCGTCTAAGGGGCCTCTTGGGCGCTTCTTGGGCCGTCAGGGGCTCTCTTGGACCATCGTGGCGGTCGCCGCGGCGCTCGCGATGCCCACGCGGCACCTGCAACAGCACGGCGGCCGCTGCGAGCCACGCCCGCGGCAAGAGACCTCCCGTGCCCCCCTGCCCCCTGCCGCAGGCCCGTGGCAACCGACGCCGAGACACCAGCCTTGGCTTAGCACCATCAGGACGCGGTCTCGCAGCGTGTGGAGCCGCACCTCTTTTCAACAAAGAGGACCTCAGCCATAACCCCAAGGATAGCGGGACCCACAACCTCCGGGCGACGGCCGCTCGGGATGCGCGGGGCAGGGCAGCCCACGCGCGCCGCCTGACCAACGCGACGCTGGCGGAACAGGCGGAGATCATCAAGAAGCTACAGAACGAGATCCACGAGTGAAAAAAGTGGTGGTACAAGCAGGGCAACCACAGCACAGCCCGAGCTGCAATCGCAGCTCTGTCAAAGGAGGGCACCTCGAAAGAGGGGGACCCAGCGGGGCGCTGGCCCAAAGAGGCCGAAGGACCCGATGGGGGAGGACCGGCAACACCCAAAAAAACAGAGGGGCCCAAGGGGTTAACTACCTCAGCCAATTCCCCTTCAACGTTGAAGCCGAGGACTTCATCCCTGGCCTCGTGCGCGGCGCCGCATCCCAGACACTGAGGAAGGCCAAATGATTGAGGCCACCAACATTGCCAAGGGGCCCAAGGACACCGCGGAGGAGCGCACGAAAGCCACCAACCCCGCCGAGGAGCCCGTGGAGGTCACACACAACACACAAAAACACACGCACGCACACACGCACGCATGCACGCACGCACCGCACCGCACCGCACCGCAACACACAACACACACAACACACAACACACAAGACACACAACATACAAGACACACAGCATACATAACCCACAACACACAAAACATATACACGCACAACCCACAACACACAACACACAACACGCACACAACACCCACAACACACACACACGAAACACACAACACACAACCCACAACACACACAACACACACAACACACAACACACACAACACATAACATACACAACACACAACACACAGCACACAACACACACACACGCAACACACACACAAACAACACACACAGACACACGCACACACACACGCAACACACACACACACACACAAACAACACACACAGACACACGCACACCCACACACACACGCACACACACACACACACACGCACACACACACACACACACGCACCTCGCTGAGAAGGCCACCTACATCGCCGAGAAGGCCAAAGACACCGCCGAGGAGCCCAAGAAACCGACCCACATCGCCGAGGAGGCCGCCCGCGTCGCCGAGGAACCCGAGGAGGCCAGCCGCGTCGCCGAGGAGCCGCCGCCGTTCACGCCCCCGCCTTCAGCGCAGGGCCCAGCCTGGGGTCGTTAGAAAGGCCGACTTGACGGAGGCCAAAGCCGGCCAGAGGCCCACCACGAAGCCGGGCAGCTCGCGGCTGTCCGTTTCAGCGACGCCGACGATGACAACATTCATTCAGTCACCCACCCCGCTCGCACGAGGGCGGGCCCATACAGGGCGCGAGGGAAACGCAGGTGCCAGTGCACAGCACAGACAAGCAGGAGGAAGGAGGGGCAGGAAGCGCTACATACTGCACACAGGGGGCGGCGCGCCTGCTCACGTGCAGAAGTCCAGGAAGTCGTCGGTCATGTCTGCCCACGCGACGCCATCTTGCGCAGCGTCATGCCAGGATCCGATGTGATTCGCGTGGCCTAAAAGCAATCAGCTTCGCATCCCATGATAACAGAGGACGGCCCTGTGAGCGCGACCCAGGCGGCGTCCATCTCCAGGCTCTCTGCGCCCACCAGTCCGGGGGTAAACGCGCAACGTATCCTGCAATATCCCAATACTTATTCAGTGATTATCTGGACCGCGTCCAAATGCCATGTTCCGTCAGTATTTGATGGAGTCTGTCGTGCCATACATGTAAAATCTCATGCCAAGGTTGAGACCAGTCCACGCCCGCCAGCCGGCCAACGACTTGCCGCAACAGTCGACGGAATTCAACGTCCACTTTGCGCAAAGAGTCGCTGTACGGCTTCCAGACACCAGCGCCGAAACAAGCCACAGACGTTACCACGCGACCAAAAAACTCAAGGCGAGCAGAGAGAGACACATTCCGGTCGCACAGTATGGCTCGGTTGGCAAAGAAGGCTTTGTTTGCCGACGCCAAGTGGTAGTCCACGTCCAGATGGTGCGTGCCAGACCCACCGACGGCCAGCATGCAGCTCAACCACCTGTGGGCTGCATTCAGGACTCAGAGAGCTCACACTGGAGGACGACTGGATACTCCACCGCGTGAACGGCGAGACCATGAACAACGACGTCAGGATGCTCCGCAATGACCCCGTGAAGCGCACCTACGTCTGCAACTACTACGGCGGGCTGCTCAGGCCGCAGGAAGACGCGGCTGCCCTCGAGCATAGCCTGCACAACCTCTTCGCGCAGCTGCCGGAAGAGGAGGCCCGCCCACGGCCCGAAGAGCACCTACGGCGCCGATCACGCCTCGGGCATCGCAGCCCACGAAAATCGCGACTACCTCATCGCCGTCGCCACCTCGAGGGTGAGCGTGCCGCCTTCCCACCGGGGGAAGGGTCTGCCGGCGGCCCTCGAGGAGGGGCCCGGCGTGAGCTGGGCCCGCGGCGGCCTGCGCGGCACGCGCGCGCACCCAGCCCTCCCCCCCCCCCCCGGAGGCTCCTGGATTCCCCCCCCTCCTGCGCTCGGCCCGTGCGCTCGGGCCCCCCTTGTCCTCCTTCTTCGGCCCCCCCGTTCGACGTCTGTCCCCCCCGTCCCTCGCCGGCCCCGCCCGTCGGTCCGGTGACCAGCCCATCTGGGAATGGCCCCGCTTGGCGAGCCAGTCGGCGCCGCCGGCCGGGGGCAAGACTCCAGAGCCGCCTGCGGCAGCGGCAGTTTTGAAGGAGGTGGTGTGAGGCGAAGGGGAGGTGGAAGGGAGAGGGGCGTGTCGAGGGCTTCAGTCATCACGCTTGACAAGACAGTCCGCGCAGCTTTGAGCTTGGAGTTGGGGGGCCAGGGAAGAGGAGCTGGAGGAGGAGGAGGAGGAGGCGGAGGAGGCGGAGGATGAGCGGGAGGCGGAGAGACGAGGAGCATGATTGTGGGATAGAGGTAAAAAAGGAGGAGGACCAGTGCAAACCCAAGAGTCATCATCGATATTGCAATCAATCCTCCCTCAAAGTTCCCTCTTCATAGGCCCCTACAAGGGTTCATCTTCACTGAGGGAAGTGCCCTTTTGGAAAACATCTGTTTGAAAATCCTGGACTGTGCCAGAACACCTTTCCTGGGACTTCAACGCCGCGAATAACCGTTACGGTTGCGTCTTGAGGATCCTGAATCGTGCCAGAACGCCCTTCCTGGAACTTCAATACCGCGAATCAACGTAAATGTTGCGCCCTGACATTCCGACACCGTACCAGAACACCACTTTTGCGACGTCAGCAATGAGGATCCTTGCCACTGCTGTAAACACTTAAGACGGATGTAAACGGCGCTACGGCGAGAACCACATTTTGAACAGGCATCGACCTCCATCCGCGAAGCTCCTACAATTATCTAAACTTAACATGCGCGGTGCCAAGACGAGAACCCTATGTTGAAAGCGGCCCGCCCTCCATCAGTGAAGCTCTTCAATGTCTTGAACCGAATGTTTTCCACGAGAACAATTCCATCATCATGGTGTAATCTCACGCGCGAGCAGTCCGCATCAAGAGCAGAGTGAGAAGAGATCGCGATGCAGATCCGCAGCCCCAATTGACGGGGGCGAAGTCAGCCTGATGCCAGAAGACAGAAAGCACCAGCCACAAGGGGGGGAAGGAGGAGGAGAACAGAAGAGCGAGAGGTAAACTGATGGATGTATTAAACCGTTGTGAGTGCACTCCCCCATGATCCGAACGATCATTCATATAAACGGGCCTCGCACAACAGCGAATACGGACCGCAACGCAACATAATAACACAAGGTCGGAACATACCCCAAATTCCTGACATGCCACTAGAAATCTGACTGGGTGGTTTAAGCCAGTCGAGTACGTGGAAGGTGACCTAGCTAAGGTACAATGCTAAGCACCGTGGGTCACCACGCAAGCCTACACGCCCCTTAGTTACAGCACACAATAAGAAAAGCAACATATGGGTACCCTGTAAAAGGGAAGCGCCAGATCCAGCCCGAGGAAACTGGGCGAGAATCGCACGCCAGAAACTCGAAAACGACATAACTAAATTGGGTGATTGCGGCATGGCCGCCAGGAGACACGCGGCGACGGCGACTGCCCGGGCCAAGAGCGGCCCCCTACGGAAGCGGCTCACTGGACCGGGCGGCCAACGCATCGGGCGCCCTATGCGCCAAGTGAGGAGGCGGAGGAGGGAAAGGAAAGGAAAGGAAAGGAACAGAGTTCCAAGCCGCTTGTCCCAGCCGCGTGGCCGATACGGGGGCGCACAGCTCACCGACCAGTCTTGTCGGCCCGCATCTCGACGTCGTGCTGCTTGTCATGCCAGTCGTGCATGCCCTTGTGCATGTTCAACACAAGCCCTGAGGGCAGAACCTGGAGGCGAACAGAAACGAACCAAGGGGACGAACAGTAGAAGCCCTCCATAAAAAACCCAGGCACCCCCGACACAGATGCCACGCCTCAGAGGACACAGTTGAGAGTCCCAAGCGTCCTGTGGCTGCACTGGCAGCTGCGACTGCGGGTGCTGGGGTGGACCGCAGCGTGCCGCTGGTAGTGCGCACGAGCAGAAGCGTCGGTGCTGGCGTCGGCGCTGGCGTAAGAGGCGCTGGCGTTCATGCTGGCGTCGGTGCTGCTGGTGCTGGCGTAGGCGTTGGCATAGGCGCCGGCGCAGGCGCCGACGGCGGTGGTGCTGGCGACGCAGCTCACGTCGGCGCTGGTGAAGGCGTTGGCGTTCGTGCTGGTATAGGAGCTGGCGTTGGGGCTGTCGTCGGTGCTGGCGTCGGAGCTGGTGGAGGGCTGGCGCTGGTGCTGGCGTCGGTGCTGCCCGTCGGTGCTGGTGCAGGCGCTGGCATTGGTGCCAGCGTGAAGGTTGGCGTTGGTGTTGACGACGGAACTGGCGTCGGCGCTGGGTGTAGGCAATAGCGTTGGTGCCAGCGTCGGCGCGGACGATGACGGTGGCGTCGGCGCTGGCGTAAACGCCGGCGTTGGTGCTGGCTTCGGTGCTGGCGTCAGTCCTGGTACAGGAGCTGTCGTTGGTGCTGGCGTAGGCGCCAGAGTTGATGCTGGCGTCGGTGCTAGCGTCGGCACTGGCGTGGGCGCTAGCGTTGGGGCTGTCGTCGGTGCTGTCGTCGATGCTGGTGTAGCAGCTGGCGCTTGTGCCAGCGATAACGCTGGGGCGTAAGTGCTGGTGTCAGTGCTGGCGTCGGAGCAGGTGCAGGCGATGGCGTTGGTACCCGCGTAGGTGCAGGCGTTCGTGCTGGCGTCGGTGCTGGCATCGGCGCAGGCGTAGGCGCTGGCGTTGGTGCTGGCGTCAGTGCTGACGTCAGTGCTGGTGCGCTGTGGGCGCTGGCGTCGGTGCCAGCGTCGGCGCAGGCACTGGTGTTGGCGTCCGTGCTGGAGTGGGCGCTGGTATAGGCGATGGCGTTGGTGCCCGCGCAGGCGCAGGCGTTGCTGTCGGCGTCGGTGCTGGCGGCGGCACTGGCATCGGCGCCGGCGTTTGTGCTGCCGTCGGTGCTGGTGTAGGCGCTGGGCTGGTGCCAGCGTAGGCGCAAGCGTTGGTGCTGGCGCGGGTGCCAATGTAGTCGCTGAAATTGGTTCCAGCGTAGGTGCCAACGTTGGTGCTGGCATCGGTGCTGGCGTCGGCGCTGATGTAGACGGTGGTATGTTGCCGGCGAGGGCGCAGTCGTTGGGGCAGTCGTCGGCGTTGGCGTCGGTGCTGGTATAGACGCTGGTTCTTGTGCCGGCGAAGACGCTGGCGTTGGTGTCGGCGTGGGCGCTGGCGACTGTGCTGGCGTCAGTGCTGGGGTTGTCACTGCACGCCAAACTGTATGACCAATTGGGCATGGCCTGGGCGTGGCACCAGGCGCGGCTCTGTAATCGTATATGCGATGACGGCTTGGAGCTGCCCGAATTTCCACCCCAGACAGGCACGGAGACTTCGACATTAGCTCGGAGAAAAAAAATCGCACCACAACATAAGACGCAACTAAAATGTCACGAATTTTGTTGCTGCGATGGTGTGATAGCTGGAGCTGGAGTCGGTGTTGGGGTCGTAGCCGGATCTGGCGTCTGAGTGGGGGTCGGAGAAGAGAAGGGGGATGCGGAGTGCCAGAGTTGGCGCCGGACTCAGTGCCAGCGACGTTGCCGCTGGCATCGGTACTGGAGTCGGTGCCGGCGACGTGCTGTAGGCATCGATGCTGCAGTCGGTGCTGGCGTGCTCATGCTGGACGTGGTCACGGTGGAGGTTCTGGTCTGGTTTGTGGTGCTGCCCATGCTGGACGTGGTCACGATGGAGGTGCTGGTCAAGACTGTGCTGCTGCACATGCTGGATGTGGTCATCGTGGTGGTGCTGCTCATGTTTGTGGGCTTGCTTATGCTGGATGTGGTCACGGTGGCAGTGTTGGTCCAAGTTGTGGCGCTGCGCATGCTGGATGTGGCTACGGTGCAGATGCTGCTCAGTGTTGTGGTGCTACACATGTTGGACTTGCTCACGGTGGTAGCGCTGGTCATGGTGGCAGTTGTCATGGTGGCAGTGGTCCTGCGGGCGGGGCCCTGCTAGAGCACTGCTAGAGTGGACTTCCAGAGAACCAAGATCGTGGAAGTGATGGTCCCCGTCGTGATGCTCAGCGAGGAACTGCTGGTCCCCGACGTGCTGCTTGGCGACGTGGTACGCGTCGCGCTGCTCGTCTCACCAATGGGCGGCGCCGTCGAACTGCTGCCCCAGGCCACGGTGCTCCGAGTGGGGCTGCCGGTCGCCAGCGTGCCGCTCATACTCGTAATACGGATCAGCTCGTCGTGATGGTGCTCGTCGTCGTGTTGCCGATGGCCGTCGTCGTGCCGCAAATCTGCTCATGGTCGTGCTGCGTACCGTCGTGCTGCTGGCGGCCTAGTCCTTGTCCGCGTCCGTCGGGCCAGACCATCGCATGCCCCGCGACTCCGATGCGCGCGGCGGCACCGCGCCAGGCGCTCGCGGAAGGCCTCGGGGATGGGCCGCAGCTCCTCTGGGCCCACGCCCGCGTCCTCTGGGTCCCCGACCTTCTCGTCAGGATTCCCGACCACCACCTTTGGATCCTCGCTCTCGTCCTCCCGATCCTCGCCCCCGTCCTCTGGCTCCACGTCCTCGTCCTCTGGGTCTGCGACGTCCTCGCCCACGTCCCCGAGTTTGCTCCTCCAGGCCCCCTCGCAGTACATTGCAATAATCACGATCGTCGCGCTGACAGATATACCAGTGCTCGTGGCCGCGGTGCTGCACGGGCATGCGGTCGTCGTGCGTTTGCTCCGGCGTGGGAGCTGGGATCGGGGCCGGCGTTGGAGGCGAGGCCGGGGGTGGGCCAAGCGCAAGCGACGGAAGGGGGAGCAGAAGTGGAAGCTGAGTCAGCGACGGAGCAGGAGTCGGAGTTAGAGTGAAGGTGCGCGTGGTTGGCAGCGTCGACTGTGGAGGCTGAAGCCGTGGTGGTAGCAAGAGTGGTGCCGGCGTAGGCGCGGGCGATGGAGCTGGCATCGGTGCCGTCGCTGGGTGCGACACGCTGGCGTCCACCCAGCGGGCGCGGCATGCAGGCACCTTGAACCGAATTCTGGGGCTGGGGTCGGAGCAGCACCAGAATTCGAAGATAAAGTCGACGCTGGAGTTGGTGCTGAAGCCTGGGGTGGGGTCGGAGCTAGAGTAGGCGTCGGAAGAGGCGTCGGAACCGAGGTCGAAGTCGGCCTTGGTATCCGCGTGCTCTCCGTGGCAGCCGCGGTGCTGTTAATGGTCGCCGTCGTGCTGCGCGTGAATCCCGTCGTGGACAAGCTCTTGGTGTCCGTCGTGCTGCTCGTGGCACTCATCATGCGGAGTGGAGCTGGAATGTGGGCCTGCGTCGGAATTGGCGCTCGCGATACAAAACCCGGATACCGCCACGCGCGCTCCGTGAGCTCTGGGGCGCTGAACTGGTGAAGGCTGCAGGTCGATGGGTGGCGGCGGAGAAGGGCGGACCAGCGCGCCCAAAATGCACGGATGGGCCGGCACGTCCAAGAGTGCGGCATGGCAGCGGCGTCGGGGTTGGCGTCTGCGCCGACAACGGCGCCGATGCACGCGCCAGTGTTGCCGCCAGGGAAACGTAGGAGGAGGGGCCGTTGAAGAGGAAGACCATGTAGCAAAGGCGGCCGTCGGAGGCGATGCTGGCATAGCGCGAGGACCCCACCAGTACCATGCAGCGCTATACAAAACCCAGATGCCGCCACGCACGTTTTGCGAGCCCTGGAGCGTTGAACTGGCGAAGGCCGCAGGTCGATGGGCGGCGGTGGGGGGGCGGGGGCGTGGGGGGCAGAGGGCGGCGGAGGCTGGGCGTCGGAGCGTGGAGCCGGAGGCGTCGGGCAACGGAGATGTCGGAAGAGGGGGAGCCTCGGGCGCTGGAGGCGTCGGAGCGTGGAGTAGTGGCCGACGGGTGGAGGAAACTGGAGGGCACTGGGGCGGCAACTGCGCGGCTGGGCCTGCGCGTCGAGGTGGGCGGCCACAGGAGAAGAAAGAAATGGAGCTGTGGGGTGGGGGTGCCGTTCGCTCTGGGACCCGAAATCGATCTGCGACAGCGTGGGGAACATAGAGCGGCCCCCGCACTGACGAAGCAAGGCCGGGGATAGCCGGCTTCAGCACCACTGCCCAAGCGCCCCGTTGTGGCGCACCATGCAATGCACTCTGTGCGCGGCAAGCCAGGCGCTCCCCTCGGGACGCTGGGCGCAGCAGCCCCAATCGCGTCTGCGCGAATCTCCGCGCATGGGGGAGCGACGCGACGCGAGCGCATCGTGAGCGCTGGGGCCAAAAAAAGCGCGTCGGTTGGCGTGACCTCCGCGTCCCGGGTCCTCGTCTCAATCCAGTTCTTCGGAGGCGCGGGCAGAGCAGCCAGCGCGGCGCCCTGGAAGCGTCGGCGGACTCGGTGCGCAGTGTTCTGCCGGAAAGGCCGCTGCTCGCCGCCGGCCAACAAGCCGCGAAATTCTCCCGAGCAGAAAGTCAACTGCTGCCGAGAAGAGTAGCGGCGAGAGCGGACAGCCCTGTCGGATGCCTGCCAGGAGTTCAAAGCCTTCGCGCTGTCTCCCACCAGCCACCATTGAGCATCTGTTCCTCTGGTAGAGCGTTGAGTCGAACCGCAGCGCCCAATGTGGGATCCCATTTGCTGCCAGTGCGCCCTGGAGAAAGTCTTCAGGCACGCTGGGGAGTGCCGCCTTGAAGTCGAAGAACACCGCCGCGCCCGCGTCGCTGCGCAAAGAAGCGCGCATCATGACATGATCGACGTCCACGACGTTGGCCAGCATCGACCTGCCCGGCACGAACCCTCGCTTTTGAGGCGAGATCCGCTCCGCCAGCAGGGGTTCCACTCGAAGCCGCACTGCGTTGGCTAACATGCTCATGTCGCAGTTCGTGATGTTGAGTGGGCGTGTCCCCGGGGGCGTAGTAATCCCCCGCGACCTCATCGCGGCCACTCAGCGCCTAGGGGAGGGACACCATGAGGCCCCTGTTGAAGCCGAGCTCAGCAGAAGGGCCGTGTAAGAACTCCTCGAGGTCGAGCTGGCTCGGGCCTTCGGCAAGGCACTCCAAGGCCCTGGCCAGCGCGTCGACGGCCCGGGCGCCGAGTCAGGAGAGTCGCCAATGGCAGTTGCCATGTCTTTCTGCCGTGGCCGCCGCTCAGGGCCGTCAGGGGGCTGGGGACCATCAGGAGAAATGTTCTCCCGAATCCACGATTGCAGCAGGGCGCGGTCAACGCGACACGACGCAAAAGTAGCGGCCCAGTGGTCGAGAAGCGCATCTGCCATCTCGCCCGGGTCCGTCGCGACCTTGCCGCGGGCGTTTCTCACTGCCGGAACAGCAGCGCACCTGCCAGCGGAAGGCCGTCGGATAATTTGGAGGATCCTGTCGCGCTTGTGGGCCTTCTCGGCGTCGCTGGAGAAGTGGCCGTTCTCGTGCTGCTCGGCGAGCTGTTGAATGGCCGACGCACGAGCAAGCTCAATGGCGTGATCGCGAAATTGACCCGTGCCTGCGCCTCCGACGTGGACGAGGCCCATGCGATCGGCCGTCAGGGAGCCGAGCTCCAGGCATGACCGCAGGCAGTGCTGCAGCACCCCTGCGTGACCTTGCTCTGCCGCCCGCACAAATTTCATAGTAGTATAGCCCAGCTGGTCATCAGACTCAATGGAAGGATTTGCCGCGTGAGCCTGTTCAGCAGCCATGCGGTCGGCCGCCACCCGCATAGCCATCTTGAGCAGCAGTAGCCGTTGCAGCAGACTCGCATCCTGCGAGCCCGCCTGAGACCGCTCCTGGATTTCCACGGCCACGCGTTCCACCCACGCAGGGTCCGGCAGGATGGGCGCTGAGATTGGGCGAGGGCCACCTGGCGCACGGACTGGGCAACAACGGCCGGCAGGAACTCCAGCGGTACGCAAAAAATATGTCGGTCCAACTGTTCTGCCACAGACGGTTTCCAGCACACCCGGTCCAAACGAGAACGGGCAGCGGCGTTGTCGTGAATCGTTGCAGGTTGAGACAGCTCGTGTAGGCCCCGAGGCCGAGCCAGCACGGAGTGGAAATGTCGTTCGTCGGGAGCGTCCCGTCCACCTGTAAGCTCGCCCGTGGACTTGGCAAATCTGTCGCGCTCCGCTGTGACCCAATTGAAGTCCCCAAAGATGATGGAGAGAACACGTCCAGTCGGGCCAGAGCGGCAGCCAGCCTGACCCGCATGTCCTCACGCTGTCGCCGAGACTGCCTGTCAATGTCGTCCATTGTCGTCCTGCTGCTGCTCGCCTCGCGGTTGCACGACGTTGCTGGAGCTGGCGCTCGCGAAATAAATCGTATACAAATTGAGCGAGCCGTGAGGTCCAGCAAGCCGAAGCACCGCGGCCCTACCAGGAACCAACACGTCCCAACGAGTCAACGCCGGGTCGAAGTTGTCCAGGAAGGCCTTCTTCACAACGAAGTCCACCCCCGCTTGACCGGACGTGCCTGGCGAGAACTAGGTGCGGCTGTCCAGAGGACAGCCACATGCCATGCCCTCGCCCGAAGCCCTCGAGGCCGTGCGTCTCGGACAACGTCACGAAGTCCCGCTTCTGCAACAGCCGTCGAACGTAGGTGTCCTTGGCCATGTGGCGGTTGCGCTTTCGTGCAGGAAGCGCTTGCGTGGTCCACGACGCCCCGTGCAACTCTGTCCGGAACGGCGCCAAGACCAACCTCCCCCAGGGGCTGCGCCTGGAGGCGCGTGGCCGTCGGGCGGCTGACCAGGTCCAGGGGAGTCCGCCGGAGGGCGAGGGGCGCGGCGAGCCCGAAGCCTTGGGGCAGGGCGCGCTGGCGGTAGCGCTGGGAGCTCGGCGGCAGCGCGAGCATCGGAGCGGATGCTACAAATGGGGTGCGCGTGGTGCGTCGCGCGCGCCTCCACGCAGCAGCGTAGGAGAGGCTCAGAGAACATGGGGGCAGCAGGATGAATGCAGAGAGGGAGACCGCCGTGATCGACACGGCGGGCGTGCAAGTCGAGGTCGACAGCCCAATATCGGAGCCCAGATTGGGAAGTGACCTTAATTCCCCAGCATCTAGGGCTCAGGCAGGCCGGCCAGCCACCCTGGCGGGGGCGAGGCCCTGGCTCGCCCGCCCCCGCTGCGCGTTCCCCTGCTGCAGCTCCACCTCGTCACTCGCGACTGTGATGCTGATGAGGTCAGCGCCGAGCTGGACAGCGCGACCGTGCACCTCCTGCATGATCCGTTGAACCTCCTCCAGCGACGTCAGCTGCAGCCGCACCCGGCCAGGGTGTGCAGTGGGGCCTCGATCGGCCAAGCGGTACCACGTCCCGCCGCCAGACTCGCCCTCCTGCGTCGCCTCCGCACATGCAACGCCGGTGCGAGCCCGGATCACGGCCATCAAGCTGCGGATCACGGAAGGCGTATCGTAGCCCAGAGAGCCATCGACTGTGAGCGTGGTAGCGGCAGATGCCCCAATCGAGCTCCGCGCCGCCGTCGCAGGCCCAGTCCTCCAGACAACCGCCAGCTGCGGGGGCGTCGCCTCGGGGGTGACCCAAGGGCGGCAGCCCTGTTGGGAGGGGCGCCGCAGCACTCGCAGCGGCGCTAAGGCGAGCCTCACATTTTGAAAGCGGACCGCCCTCAATCCGTGAAAATGGTGCAAATTCTACGCTTCAGGAAGTCTCAGACGAAACGCCCAGTGCGAGAGGGAGGAATCCATCATAAGTAAAAGGAATGGAGGAGGAGGGGGAGGAGGAGGAAGAGGAGGAGGAGGAAGAGGAGGAGGAGGATATGATATGATATGATATGATATGCGCTTGGGGGGCGTGTCTCCCTCGCCTCCGCGGGCCAGCACGCCTCACATCAGCATCTTGCTCCTGCCCCCTGCGAATGATATGGACTGGCCCCGCTTGGCGACACTTCCTGCCGTCGGAGCGGACCTGCGGCGGCCGCCTGGCGCCCACAAGACGTCGAAGCGGTGCCGCGTCGGCACGGGGGAACTCTCGCCTCGTGTCGATGGTGGGGGTGGCCTGCCTCCTCTGGGAGGAGGAGGAGGAGGAGCAGGAGGAGGAGGACGAGAAGACAAGCCACGCAGGATGGGAAGGATCGTGGACGGTAGGGGAGGAGGATGGGGAGGCGAGAAGAGGAGAAGGAGGAGGAGGAGGAGGAGGAGGAGGAGGAGGAGGAAGAGGAGGAGGATAGGGTGGTGAGAGGAGTCGAGAAGAGGAGGAGAAGGAGGAGGAGGAGGAGGAGGAGGAGAAGGCAGGATTTAGGACGACTGAAGGAGGGGGACCCTCCTGCCTTATAGAAAGCAGAAAGGAAGATGAGCAACTGAAGAAGGCCCGTGCCACCGATGCCCATTCCACGACGGCGTGGGTCCCATCCCGGGACATTTTCCCTTCGGTCGGGGGTCACTTGTTGATGGCCCTGCAGGAGCCAGGACAGGACGGCACTAGCCGGATGCTCGTCAAACGGGGGGGGGACAACCGGTGGGGGGAGAACCGCGCCGCGCGTCTTCCCAGCACCCCTTGGACCCGCGGTGGCAGATCAGCAGCCGCTTAGGGCACCTTGCGGGCCTCTTCCCCGCAAGATGCAGGCCGGACCAGTTTGCCAGAATCCCCGTTCGCCAGTCCCTGTTCGCCGGACCCCGTTCGCCGGAGTCCCCCGTTTGCCGGGTCCCCGTTCGCGGGGGCCCCGTTCGCCAAAATCTCCGCTCGTC